AGAAATGGAAGAGAAATGTATTGTAGGCACTGTGTATATGCCACCTACAAATTCGTATATTTTGCGTCTACAAGAAAATGTTGCTACGTAACTCGAGATTAGTGCCAGGAATGCTCCTACTTGTCTTCTTAAACAATTTTCTTTACTTCACTTTGTTGATATTAAAATAAATCGGACATACTTATTTCGATATATATTTTATCGTATTATTATACTTAATATTTTTGTTTTTTTTGTTTTTTTTGTTTTGTTTTGTTTTTTTTTTGTTTTTTTTTTTTTTAAATAAGAATATAAAATTATTACGTTGAATAATAGAATATTGTTCGATACGTATTTTCTTTTCTCCTTTTTTTATTAATATTTGTATTGAACCGAATACACGTTTTAATCGTATATCAAATTTGTTGATATAAATATTTAAATAATTTAATGTGTAAAAATTTATTATTCAAAATCTTTTGTTGGATAAATTGAAATTTTTGAGTAGCCGCGCCCCTGAGATATCCCAACGATATCCTTCCACGAGCCAGGCATGTTACATTCCCCAGGACGGTAAAGTCTTGCCGACTAATAAGTTTCATCCTCCGCGTAGTGAGCACCAATTATGAACTTGCTCTGGCCATAATTAAAAAATGTAATTTCACCGCCAGACTTCCACGATCTTAGACATTAACGTTCCACTATATTCTCTCGTATTGTACTGGTGAAAATTTAGAAAGAAAACGTGTTTTCAAACAATTTTGTCATTTATAACATGAACACGTGGAACATATGGTCAACATGAGAACGTGGTCATATTTTTCGTATATTCATGGCTACCACATTTTATTCATATCTTTAGAAATATAGTTCTTTGAAAATATACAATAGTATTAGTTCTGCAGTTAACTGTCTACAAAGAAACTGTCAAAAGAAAAAATATCAAAACAACAAAAACATGATAAAATTTTAATGACAGAAACTAAAGGAGACATATGCTTGAGACGTAAGAGAAAAAAAAATTATGCGTATGTGAGTTTACCAACGTATATATATATATATATATATATATATATATATATATATATATATATAAACGTATATATATATATACGCACACACACACATACACAAATACAGACATAGAAATAGTGCATCTGTTCGCGAGGGATGATACCGTTCTTAGGATCGAGTGATGCTTCAAGTATTCGCGTACGGCCAAGTGAAGAGGTTGCGATATGCTACTTAAATCGTGAAAGCTTTACGACGTGCCGACGGTAGGGAACAGCGAAACGTGTAGACAAACGTTTCACTGTGAGAGCGGCTTAAAAGGTCAACACACAAAGTGTATCATTAAAGACTGCTTCGCCTAACCTGTTCTCTTCTTCTTATATCGTATATCGTAAGAAACTCTTATCTCATTAAGTTCCATTAATATCTATCTTGAACGCAAGAAGAAAGATATTATTTCTAAATGATGTATACTATATTTGCTATATTGTTCTCACATTTATTTATTACCTATACTTCAAAAATAATAAAATAATAAAATAATAAAATAATAAAATAATAAAATAATAAAATAATAATAATAATGATGATGATGATGATAAAGTGATAAAAAAAAAAAGAATTTGACGTCAATTAATAGTAATTTTTAACATAATACGTAAACGGTATTAATGAATGATAGATATTATCTAGGTAGATATTATCTACATACTTTATTTATTACTAATTTAAACAAATTGCTGTTTATTTTATTTATAGAAAATTCGAAATATCTCTTCAATCCTGTGACGTATAATTTAATCCAAGACTAAAGTCTAATGCAAGAAGGTATCTCCTCATAGCCGCTATCATAGCCGTTCGTTGCTAGAGAATGGTGGAAGATAAAAGGGTAGGGATAGATGGGGGTCTATGCTTTCTCAAACATAATACGGCGTCAAATTTATAACCGAGTTAGCAAAATCTCTCTCTTTCCATCCCCCTCTCTCTCTCTTCCCTCCTCCTCTTTCTTTCCCACCCACCCTCTCTCTCTCTCTCTCTGCTCGTGTTTAAAAGCACAGCCTCGAAATGACGAGGTGAAATGGTGGAAGAGATTCAGTGAGTAGTTCCGAACGAACGAGGTTGACGCTTTGATTAAATTATAGAATAATCGTGCGAAATTATAGGTATTAACTTTCATCCCGACGCGGACACCCCCTGGAGAGTATACTCCAAGAATTTATTGCAATATTCCTGTTCTTCCCGCGATCTACATCTTTCTGATAATGAAAATTGATTTTTTGTGTCGCTATTGATCACTGCGAGAATAAGTAAATAATCTAAATTTTTTTTCTCTTTTAGAGATAGAAATATATATCTTGTACTTTGTAAAACTCATTTATCAAAAAAGGATTATTAAAAATTTGTAATTTAAACAATTTCTAAATAGATAAAGGCAATCGCGTTAAAATCGTGTTAAATTCTAAATTACAGCCGTTAATAACAATTATAAAAGTATAGTTTTCAAAGATCGATCTTTATTTTAATGGTCCTAAGTAAAGTTTCATGTAATTTCAAAGAGACATTCTCTGCTACGTCGTGTTCAAAACGAACGCACCCTTGAGACGCATCTGTCTCCTCGTAATACGCGAGAATAAAAAATGTCACGGGCGCCGATCTGAAAACGTGTCTACGAGCAGAGATTTCTCTTCCTCCGCGGAAAAAGGCGAGGAAAGAGAAAAAAAATGAAGTGCAGGAAGCAGGAAGAGAGGACATACGGTTCTTAAAAGAGAAAGAAAAAATGCACTTCTACATTGTACCGTTTCCTGGAGTGCTTCCAAATTGCTCCGAACGTATGTGGTTTAAGTGGTTCGCCTAATTTCGTCCTAATTCCGGCACTCAACGTTTGTCTTTCCAAATTGGATCGGTTTCTTAAAAAAAAAAAAAAGAAGAAGAAGAAGGATTTATATGAAAAATAGAACAAAGATTCTAATGATAATTTGTATAAAAAAAGGAAAAAAAGAAACACGATAACGATATTTAAAGGAACGATAGATTAAAGAAACAAAAGAAAACGATATTTATGACTTTTCTAAATAAAATACATTTATTGTAAATAAAATTATTCCAACATTTTTAATATTCTAAATATAGAATTCTTATAATTTGAACATTCATCAAATTCCTATATACATAAATAGATGACGACTGTAAAATTTTTCATCAATGAATAATAGAAACGATCATACAAAAGCATGACACGTATGTAGTACTGCGTAAAAAAGGAAAGAAATAAGTTTTATATTTATAAATAACTGAGGATTTCACGAGTGTAATCACCGACAAAAGTAACTATTAGTTAAACAAAGTATGTAAGTACGCATTCGAATGTTGGCGAGTGTTACAGGCAGGTTCGTGAAGTCTCTAGTGGACCGTTTTAATTAACACGAAGCCACGAAACACGCTTCAACGTCGTACAGAATTCCACCCATGGAATCAAGGGATACGTACTGGGATAGTGATGCTGCAAACATGTGTGATAAAAACGAATGAAATCTCCTAACAGGGGACGGCGAAGAAAGCGACAAAGGCTTTCATCTTGCCGCTCACGTCGGCCACCTTTTCGATGATATTTTTCTACGTAAACATAAGAATAATGTATGCCAACACACAGGCATTCTATACAATCAGTAGCACGCATATTAATGACAAATAAATCTTAAAAACGTTCCGACGAATAATCCCAAATGATAGCAATGAATATGATTTTCATATGTGTGCAAATTTTTCTTTTTTTTTTTACATCCAACGAATATGCAATTGGATTAAAAAAAAGAGGCTGGATTATTGTTCATAAATTTATTTAAATCGAATAAAATAATTCAACATAATGATATTAAAAAAGATATATATATATTTTTCTTTTTAATAACTTGTGTTCATAAAGACACTGTAAAATTTAAATTAGGAAATATCACTTTAACGTAACCACAAATGTTAACGAACTTGACACGGAGTATCTAAAGATGTAGATACGCGTACTGTGAGAATCTTTCTCTGTCAGCGAACGTGTGAAATAATCTTTTCGGAGTCATTTCGCTGTTTTTTTCGTGAACAACGAATGATAAGAGAGACTTAAGAGTTTCGAGCAGTTGCGATCCGTAAGAGCGGGAAATGAGAATGCGTCGAGTTCTTTTCAAGTATATACACATGCTCCACTATCGTACAATATTTCTTTTACCTTTTTTTCTCTGTTCTTTCAGTAAGTCAGATTTGGTTCGCTCTTTATATTCTCGCTGACTAGCAGAAACATCCTCGAATGTTCAAAATAAGATAAAAATTTATAAGAAAGATTTAATAAGGAAAATAAATCGATTTACTTTAATTAGTTTTATTGTTTTTAACAAATTTTTTAATTTGTAAAAAAATTTTGGTAAAAATTATAAACAAATATTATTATGTATAGCGATAAGAATAAAACTTTTTTATTCGATCAATTTAATTCTGACTATTTCTAATTTGATACGAAAGTATAGAAATTCATCATTGATTTTAAATATCTCACAATATTCTTGACATGTTTTGACTTTCGATTTATTTTAAAAAATTATTTTTATTATCAATAACGCAAGATCGTATTGAATGGATTAAATCTTTAAATGATTCGTTATTAGAAGAAAATTTTTTAAACAACATCTGTGCAGTACGTTCTTTTGTCATATCACCGATTGATTTGCAAAGCGTACCATTTGATCGATGCATATTTGCATATGAAATCTGAATTCTACTGAAAATCTTATGAACTTTTTTTATTTATCTAATATATGTATGTTGATACCTGCAATGAACATGGCCGGAACTGTGATAATATACAAATTATAAAAACGGACATTCATAAAACGATGTATTGTTGGATCCCACATTAGGAAATATTCAACAATAATGAAGGAAAAATATTAGGTTGGAAACTATGAAACGGGCGTTGAATGAAAATAAAAAACGAAAAGCGCAATTTTTCACATTATTTATTATATTCAATTGAAATAATTTCCATTGGCATCTACGACTTTTTGCCAACGATTGGGCAAATCATATATCTCTTTTTGAAAAAAATCTTTATTTTTAGAGTTAATAAATAATTCAAAGTCTTTTATAATATCATTTTGTTTATTGTATTTTTTTTCTCTTAAAAATAATTCATAATTACGAAAAAGATAATAATCGGTCGGTGAAATATCGGGTGAATATGGAGCATATGCTAAAATTTCATATTGTAGAGAAATTAATTTGTCAACAGTAATTGAAGCTTTATGTGGTCGTGTGTTATCATGCAGTAATATTGCGCCGTGCCGATTGAACAATACTGGTTGTTTCTTCATAAGTTTCTCATGCATGACATCAATTTCACGACAATAAGACATCGCTGTTATAGTTTCGCCTGGTTGTAGAAAGGAATAATGGATCACTCCTTGGGCATTCCACCATATGGTGACCATAATTTTTTTTTTATGCAATTTCGGTTTCGAGGTATGTCCTGGGAGTGTATTCTTATCTACCCATTGGCTTGATCGTTTTCGATTATCATACAAAATTCACTTTTCATTACAAGTGATTATTTGGTGTAAAAATGGCAATCGTGTATTGCGAAGCAACAAAGATGCGCACTTATTCTATTAGGCAATAATTCTATTTTTCCTTCACTATTGTTGTATATTTCTTAATGTGGGATCCAACAATACATCGTTTTATGGATATCCCGACGATAATCTTCTCAATAATCGATTAAAATAGAAAAGGAAGAAGAAAAAAAAATTTGTAGTCGAATTTTGAAAATTTTGTTTTTATGATGAAGTTAAAAATCTTTCTTTTCTTTTTTTTTTGGACCTATCGCTTTCCCTGAAAACAATCGAATGTACAAATGTATTTATTTTACTATCTATTCACAATGAGAGATTATTTGTGAGATAGATATCTCTTCTTCACTTGATATATATCACTTCAAAGCCATTAAAAAGTTTGAAAGACAGTTAACGATAGCATTTGTGCGAAAATCGTACAATAGACCTTCGAATTGGATTCGAATGTTTGCGATGTATCGCTTCGCATGGATAGTACGATTGCTACGCGTTATGGACTGTTATATACTGGCACGTGGATATCCGTGTGGGAGCATACATATACATATATACCTTAGCGAATGTTACCAGGTATTGAACTGCATAGATTTAACGTAGAGCAACGTTACATCGTACACACGAGTAAATTAGACGCTTAATCAAACCGTTTAATCAGCGGCATGATTGCGACCGCATCTGCTTCGGCCGTTCCCGTCAATTATCTATCGTACCTGCTCTTCAATCGTATAATCGCGTTCAAATCTACCGGATAGGCTTTATTGTTCGATACGATATAACATTCGACTTCCTGACAAAAAGGCAATAAAGATAATAAAATTTTTTTAAATGTTCACGTGGCTTTCTATAAATATTTTTTTCATCATTTTTCTCATTTATGATATTAAACAATATTAACTATCCATTTTAAACTAATCAAGATACTAATTAAGATAATGTATTAGTTAGATATATATTTCATAATTTGGTGATTATTACTCGATTAGTTAGCTCATAGTGACATTAACAAGTAATAATGTTCGTTATTCGAGAAAAAAAAGACGAGTTAAATAATAATAATTCATTAATAAATTTTTAAGGAAAATAATATTTCATGAATTACGTTATATGTAGATTAGGATATTCTTTGCAAAATATTTCTCGAAGAAGGTAGAAATAAAATAGGAAGAATGAAGTAGACTCTTCTCACTTGGGAGAAAGTTTCTTTTTCGTTTCTCTCAATTTTTCCCTTTTTCCTTTTCTTTTCTTCTTCTTTTCTTTTTCTTTCTCTTTCTTTATGGCGGTATATTTCCAATGGTTGACCTTCTGCATTTTTGTTGTGTTTTTTATTTGTTCTTTTTTTATGGTTATAATCTAATAAGGAAAAAAAGATTTATAGGAAATCTGATTACGCATTTACTATTTATTATGTTTGTAAAAAAAAGAATACTTATTCATTATTGACGTTATCATCAGATCTAAAATAAATTTACGGAACTATTCTCGCAAATAGAACTATTCTCGAAAGTGAATATGAAAAAAAGACATCTCTTTCCAATCTGATTAATTAGATTCGTATCCCTTTTGCAGAACTTTTTTCTAGCTCTACATTTAATTAACTATAATTAATATATTCTATTACTATTGGGTTGACAACTAAGTGATTGCGAATTTCAAATAAGAAGGAAACGACAAAATCCGCAATCAATTGCCAACCCAATAATTAATAAATGTTGAAGTTAAATGGTATAAAACATAATAAATAATCTATGTAGGATATAATTTCATTAAATGAATTATTTAATAAAAATAAATATGCGAAGAAGTTTGGTCGTTAGAAAAACCAATTGGATGGATTACCCTAAACCGCATTATCCTAAAAAAAAAATAAAGAAAAACCTATAGTGGTGGGAGTAAACTGGAGTCAAGAAGAGGGGAAGATACGTGATATCAAATGGGGAGGTGGATCAGAATCGACCAATCAGGGAAGAGGACAGACCTTGTCGTAGCGCTTTAGTTCGTAATATATAAACTCGTTGGTTGGTCCCTTCTTTCAGTTACCCATGGAATTGTATAAGATGAACTCATGATTCTGAAATTTTGTTTCCTATAGTGCCTATTGTTAAAAACAAAGTAAATAAAAATATAATAATTGTGAGTGCATTGATAAAAAATATAAAAATAAATGTTGTAAGAACATTTTCATGGACGTAAAGTATCGAGAGAGATTTTTTAATAAAGAGCATAATAGTTAAATAAATAAATAAATAAATGAATAAACATATATATATAAGCATAAACTGTGAAAATTAATTTAATTAAAATCCAAGTTTAATCATCTTGTATGGTTAAAAATTGATAAATCAGTTATAAAAGTGTTAAGAAAACAGAGAAAAAAGTGATAAGTGAAAAAATAACACATTCCTTTACGAAAATAATAAAATCGAATGGTGAAATGCAAGAATTTCAACAGAATTTCGATGATCAAGAAAAAGATCACAACGAGGACGAAACGATCATTGTCGTCGATATTGTTCCATCACAATTTCAACTTCGTTCGTCTGATAGTCCACCTCATAGTCCATCACACAGTTCACGTCATACCCCATCACCAGGAAGCCTATCAAAAACACCAGAAAAAGGTAATATAAAGGTTTCAAAAACTGATTATGTTTTTATGTTCTTTCGTCGCATAGCTGCAATCGATTATTTTCTATGTTATTGTTTATCACAAGATAAGTATGAATTGAGAACATGTTTTTTCTTGCAACATACAACAAAAGGAAACAAAAACAATCAGAGTACTATCTTTATTTATATATTATATATATTCTATATATATATATAATATAGAATTATCAATATAACCTGCTTTTGTTCGATAAAATATTCCAAAAACGTATTTATTCTGAAAAGCAATATTTAATTGTTCCATATAACATGTCGTAATTTTTTCTCACTCTTTTTCCTTATTTCTTATTTAATATCTTTATTCTTAATAAAAATCTCCTTATCTTCTTCCTATTTGTTTAGTCAATGATCGTTTATGACCTATTCAAACAGATTGTTCGTATATTAGTAAAAATATGTATCTCTTCTAAATTGTAGTAGTTGTATGTCTGTTGGGATAATTAGAAATGTTATTTGTGGATAAAACTTTCGTAGAAATTGACTTTATTTTTTTTTGCATAGATCTCGATAGAAAACAGCAGTATATAAATTTTAAGGTTTGAATTGCTTGACTTGCTTTGCAATGAGAGATCTTCTGAAAAGAGGGAAAGTAATTCTTCTTAAAAGAGGAAAGAAAAAGAGAAACAGAGAGAGAGAGAGAGAGAGAGAGAGAGAGAGAGAGAGAGAGAGAGAGAGAGAGAGAAAGAAAGCATCATAGTTTACGAACGATCTTTTTGCCAAGAAAGAATAATTTACAAACTTGTATCTTTTTTTATAAAATTATTTTAATAAATAACAATTTTTTAAGAAAATTGGCCTCATTTATTTATTTAGTTGCTGTATTATTTAAATAGTATGTTTAATAGTTTCACACTTTTGAAATATATAGACTAATACATTCTAAAAGAATACATCTCACCTAGCTAAACTAGAATTTGTTAATTTGTCAATTAAAGTCTTAAGTAAATAAAAAATCTTGTTAATTATTATCTTTTAAAAAATCTTATTAATGATATTATATTTTTTTTTGATGTTAGGAAGTAGCTCGTCAGACGATCATCAATTAACTCAACAACCATTATCTTCTATGGACCCCAATATTCGAAGATATAGAACGGCTTTCACTAGAGAACAATTGTCCCGATTAGAAAAAGAATTTCATCGTGAGAACTACGTTAGCAGACCACGAAGATGTGAACTTGCTTCCCAATTACATTTACCAGAATCAACAATTAAGGTTTGCATCTACAAATTATGATAACTCATCAACAGGAAATCTATATAGATAAATCTATATAGATAAATAAAAAAAGAACAATCACATTTAATTAAAATTACACTTCTTATTGAATCTAACAAACCTACAATAGAATTAAATTTACGCTCAAGTTTACAATAGAATCAAGTTTACGAAATGACCTCGTCAGCACATGTAATGCTTATTTGTTGTTACAAGGTAATCATGGTCATTGATCATGGTCATTAAAGCAACAACTTTTCTAAATAAAATTGCAAAGTTTCTAAATAAAATATTTATGAGATATCAATATATAATGTATTATATAATGTAAATTAGAGATATAGAAACAGCTTATTGCAAAAGAAATGATTTTTTTCACTATTAAATGATCTCTATATATATCATCCAACGATGAAACATGCAGATATTTACAACAGATAGATATATTATAATTTTACTTCATCTTGTAAGTACTTATTAAACGTTTATAACTAGTAATTTTTCATAAAATATTCAATTATACAAAGGATTTGTTATTATAATTGAATATTTTATGATACTATAAGATTAAAATATAATGTACATTTGTAAATTTATTTGAAAACAAATAAAACCCTCATTAATCAATAATGATTGTATAACTAATGATTCGATATCAGTCAATAATGTTAACACTTTTACATTCAGAGATAATGCTATATATCTAAATATTTTTTTTTCTAGATTTTTCTTCTAGATTTTTCTTCTAGACACGTACAATATCTCAAGTTTTCAAAAAAAAAATATGGCCTATTTGAATTTTCTTTCAAATTATATATAAGGTGAGTATAGAAAGTATTCGTATATTGATCGTATATTGAAACAAGACCTCGTGGGATTGTAGTTTATTAATTAATTTTTTATAAGTAATAGTACATATTATATGTTCGTAAATCTCTAAAGTAAATATAGTCTAAAAAAATTAGTTGTTTGTATAATTTACTAAATTAGCAAGAAAAACAAAAATTCAGTAGAAATATGAAAGTAATAAGTATTCGTGTAGTTCTTATTTCGAGCTGTTTTAAAGAGCATTTATAGCATAAACATATCACATTATTGTTTTCTATTTATGATTGACCTCGTCAATCTATTTCGAAATGTTATAAAAATCAGCAGTGTTCAAAACTTTGTATTATTGAAAATTATTATTGTAAATACGGAAACTAAGATAGAATAAAGAAAAATTATTATTAACTTGTGCAATCAGGGTAAAAGTTTATCACAAATTTCACCGATTATAAACAGATCTAGATCTATCATAGCACGTATAATTGATAGATACGGATTAAGAAAGAAGCTGCAAAATAATTCTAGAAGTGAACGTCCACGAAAAATTAATGAATATACTGGACAAGTTGTTATTAAAATGATAAAATCTAAAAGTGCTATAAAAATATTTGAACATATTAAAAATAATTTAGATATTGATGTATCTATTAGCTATGTTGCGCAACTTTATACAAAATGAAGGGTATCACCGTCGAGTGACCCGTAAAAAATATTTTGTAAGTGAAGCGAATAGGAAAAAAAGATCGTAATCTCCAAATAATAATATTAGCACACCAATGGTCTATTAGAATAGAGTGATGTTTAAAGACAAAAGTTTTTAGACAAGAGTTTTAGACGAGATTTTCAAGTCTGATAGACATAGTACTATTTGGAGGGAAAAAATTAACTAAAATTAGAAAACTTACTACCTACAATGAAACACGATGGAAGTTTTGCACTATTTTAGAATTCTACGAGTACTACTGGTGTTGGTTAAAATATAATGTAAATTAGTTTGTAAATGTACATTATGTAAATTAGTTATAAATGGACTAATGAATCACAGGGTTTACATTGACATTTTAAAATGCACTCTTATTAATGTAGAAAAAAATCGGTATAAAGAATAATTTTATTTTTATTCAAGACAATGATCCAAAACATACTGCGTATAATACAAGAATATAACAAAACACATTAGCATATATAAAAATTCGTGCGAATACTTATTGCTTTCATATTTCCGTCGAATTTTTTACTTTTTTTTTTTTTTTGTTAATTTTGTAAATTATACGAACAACAAATTTTTTTTTGTTTTTTTAGCTATATCCACTATAGAGATTTGCGAAATATGTAACAATTTATTATTTATAAAAGATTAGTTACTACATTTTACGAAGTAAATATGAACGAAGTAAATATCTTATTTCATTAATTAAATTCACAAATTGATCAATGTACAAATACTTTCTACAGTCACTGTAGGTTGATGTGTAAATAATGTTTTGGTAAAGTTTCTAATAAATTCGATCAATATCTAGACATATGATTGGTATAACAATCTGTACATTTATATTTAGATGCGAGAAAGTTTTTTTGAAAAAATCAAATAATCGAATTCAATCGAAAACAATAGTAAGACATTATTCGCGTGAACTTTTTTAATCGTTTAGATGTGCTATGGTCATGCATAAATTATTTCTTTGATTGTAACGATAACAATGAAGGTGCTTATTTTAATCAATTCAAATGAATATAATATTATAGATAAATGAAAAATAGTTAGATTTATCTCCGTCAAATAAACTAACGAAGGGTCGATCACACCGGAAACGAAGACATTAACAGTAGCATTCTCTCTTTTTCTCTTTCTTTCAATGATTCTCCTCTCATCTTGGAAGCATGCCAAGCCCGCTCATTGCGGTTGAAGGTGCTAAGCATGTTCGTTAGCGACTATCTACGGGTCTTCCTTTGGGTTTAACGGATCTTTTAATTTTTAGTATTTTGATACTCGTGCTTTTACGAAGGTAATAAAGCATATGTGAATGGAAATAATCAAGGTGCTAAATAACGGAAACGTTTGCCGCTTTGATTTGATGTTTATTCAAATAATAATAATAATAATAATAATAATAATAATAATAATAATAATAATAATAATAATAATAATAATACTAATAATAATAATAATAATAATAATAATAATAATAATAATAATAATAATAATAATAAAAATAATAATAAAAAAGAAAAAGCAATAGATATTCCTATAATTTCAGGTATGGTTCCAAAATCGTCGAATGAAAGACAAACGTCAACGTATGGCGATGGCATGGCCATACGCTATGTATGATCCAACGTTAGCTGCCAGCTTGTTCGCAGCAGCCACTGGATCGTTACCACCAACATATCATGGAACGACGCACTTAGCATCATCATATCCAGCTGCTGCGGCAGCAGCATACTATGCAGCAACTCGATATTCTCCCTATCCAAGTACAGTTTGTCCCACCACCTCAGCATCCTCCCTCCACAGGCCACAACCGCGGACTGCGGCAACCTATCCTACGACTCACTCCCATTTAATACACCATACACTCCTACCTCCCCTCCATTTAACCGGATTGGGCGTTCCAAGTGTTGGCAGTACCGCCTTTCAAATCAACGGAGCTACGACTGCTAACGAAACAGCTACTTATAGGCCACCGTTATTAAGTCCAGTAGCAACACTCACAGAAGGAAGCATTTTAAGGACAACGCCAACATCAAATTCAACTACGGAACTAACCAACGGTTTGACAGGTAGCTCTTATAGAAATCCGATACTTTCCAAACTTAATCAAGATTCTGAAACATCCAGTGATTGCGATTGTAATTCCACAGCGAAACATCAATCTCATCACGCAACTAGTTCCCAACTACTCACGTATCGATGAAAAATTCCTATTGTCAATCTAAATTGTTTGTATAATAATCGTGTTCTTGTTTCACTTTCCACATGTTTAATCAACAGTGGCTGAATAGTGTTATTATATTACTAACTTATTCAATTTTTTATTAGGGAGCCAAGCAATTATAATAAAATTATAATGAAATAAATGATTAAATACAATAAAAACAGTATTTAATTATAAGATGATATAAAGTAATATGTTAATTTAGGATGAATCATTGTTCCTTCGAATCTAAAACTAGAATACTTAGGCAATACTTTTTAAATTATTTCACATCATTATCTTCTTTATCCGATTTATTTTCCATTATATTTCATTATCATAATACATCTATATGTTTTTAGTTGCAGGGAACAGCTAGAACATTGTAGCAAATGTATATATGTATATATATATATATATACATATATATATATATATATATATATGTAAAATAAACGTGAATGATATATATATTTAATAATTTAAGTATTAGTTCCGAGCAAAACTCTCTGGTCAACATTTTATTAGTTTCATAAGCTTATTACCAAATAAACGTAGAAACAAAATTAAATAGATATGTATATACTTATATGTTTATATATTGATTAAATAAATGTTTAAGAATATACATATTTATTTAATGTGTACATATGTATATAATGTAATTAATATACAAAAATTCATAACTTAAAACGCTACGAACTTCTATTCCAACTTAATGCTAAAATTAAAAGATTGAATTTTCTTTTATTTTTTAAAGTTGGCTCGAATCATATGCTTTCTTTTATCATGTTTTATAATTACATTGCATCATTTGAGAAATTTGAAGGATCTTTCTTTAATTCCTTTAAATATCACATTAATGATATACAAGATCAATGTAAAAAAAACAATGTGAAAAAGACAAAAAATATATATATATATATATATATATATATATATATATTTATATTTACATATATGCTTATATCAATATATTATTTCATAATGTGAATGACTCTTATATTAGAGTAATCAAAGAAGGAGGTTAATTCAATAGAATTTCTCTTTTCAATATCACAAAACAATGAAAATAATATATAATTATACAATTTTGGCAGATCTGGTGTAAACTTATGAAATTGATACGGTGAATTTCACAATGGTCATTTTCCGCGCAGCTTTCTTATATTAACCATTTTCTTGCTATCTTATATTTAGTTATTTTCTTACTTGCAGCATTATTCCAAAAAGATATTATAAATATAAAATTAGTTAAAAATCATTATTTTTCCTTTGTTTTCTTGCTATATTAATATTATAATATAAGTTTCGAAATTGAACTTGTTTAGAGCATTATATCATCATAGATTATAAAAAAAATTAATGGCATATATTGCCATTAAAACAAAGATATTATTTATTGTTGATGGATTAAAACAAATCGAGAAACATTTAATCCATTTGAATTAAACATTGACGGAAAAAGGCCATTGTGAAATGTAAAATGGTGCATTTTATAACATTAAATATATCTAAAAATAATTATGAATTTGTTTGGCTCACAAAACAAGCGAGTGTGGTTCTATATGTATTATATAGTGTGATAATTACAAAAGTGATAATTACAAAAGTCAACATGTATATATATTTTATAGATTATAATTATTTATATGAAGCATAATATTTCATTTATTTATCATCTGTATATAATATAAAATAAAAAAATATAATAAGCAATTCTGTGCAAGACATAGAATTAAGAATATAATTAAAGAGACTAATGTTATTTGAAGTATTCCTATACAATTTTTATTTATTTTAATTCCTTTTTTTATAATTAATTTGATAATTACTTATAGATCCTCACTACAGTTGATTTCTGTTTTGTTATTAATTTTAAATCAATCTACCCAACTGTTATCTCTGAGAAAATAATAATTATTTTTAAAGAACGATATATAGAATGTTATAAAAATGATCTCTCATTCGAATCTGTTCACTATTTCATTCACCCAAACCAGACAACTTTATGAAATATTAATATCCAATTGATAGTATATATACGAGTATCATCCCTCTATCTTGTCGATTTCACCCTCGACAATTTTCTACCGAGGGGTTAATAGTGACGAATCTTTTGTAAAAGCTGATCTAATATCTCTTATATATCCCAGATTTAAATCTCAGCAAATTACCAGGAATGTGCCTAAAGAAATCAGATTCGATCGAGAAATTACACTATTTTATCGAAAGGACTATTGAGTTTTTCTCTAACTACTTTTCGTGACAATTTACTAGTAAATATCATAAGCTCATACGACACTCAAATTATTTCTATTTTAATTTAAGTTACAAATTTTATTTTTTTTGTTCTGTTTTAGATACAAAAAAAAATGACTCGCAGAATAAACCATATTGGATTTTGGTGATAATTTTTGGTTACATCTGATCGAGCGAAACATCACCCATTGCTTAACACTCTCACATTCGACTTACGTTTTTTAAAAACAAAAGTCCCAAAATATTTCAAATTGACGAAGATTTATACGTTTTTTCAGTAAAAATAAAAATTTGTTAGTCAAAGATTTGTCAAAAGCGTTGCACGCAAATCTCCTTTTCATATACACTTCCATTCAGTTAATATACTAATCTATTAATTAATGTTATATATATTACTTAAGATTGTTAATTGAATTTAAATGTAGATACTTAATAAAAGTGAATATAAATACTTTTATAATCAATGAGCAACGAGCAACGAAATGGTCAATAAACAGAAAGGATGGTAATAAATCGAAAAAAAGGAAGTGGCAACCGAAGTGACAAATTTTAGAATTTTAAATATTCTTTATTCATTCACATAATGAACGTCTGAAAAGAAAGATAATCAATTTGACAAAAAAGTTACATTATAAAATATAATTATAATATCACATTATAATTAATTTTCAAATCGATTATGTACTTTCGTTTATTCTTTTGTAAAATATTTTAATAAATTAAAATAAAAATTATTCTATCTTGACATTATTAGCATTCTATTATTTTCACATAATTAATATAGTTTTATAAAATATTCTTATATTAGAAATTTAAAATATAAATATTATGTAATAAATAATAAAAGACATAATACAAGTAACTACTGTCATAAAGACGGAAGATGCAAAGATTCATAAGTTCTAAACAGACATATTCTTTGTTAAATCTAATAAAAGAAAAAGAAGAAGAAGAAGACGAAGAAGACGAAGAAGACAAAGAAAACGAAGAAGACGAAGAAGACGACGAAGAATAAAAAAGATTGTGAGAAAAATATGATTTTACGAGTTGCTTGAGAAGAAAAAAGAGAAAACTAACGTACTGAGGATTCGTTAAACATTTTTGAAAAGAGTCAATCCTTTTTAGGGACATACTTTTTTTTTGTTGTCTTCATTTTGCTACTCGAACCGTTTGCTTTTTTTGTATATTTTTTGTAAAAGGGTAGCTCTTCTTTTTTTGCTCCGGTTTTTGTACCAATTATACAAGGCAACGAAAGAGGAAATGTTTTCCGATCGAAAAAAAAAATTTACTGCCGTCGGTCTTGAATCATGAACGAGAAAAGGAAAAAAAAAAACACAAGGGAAGAAAAGAAAAAGGATAAGAAAAGCATTGTAGGATTTTTACGATCTCCCTTCCAGAAAATATTCGTCCATGACAATCCTTTCTTGTCCTTAAAAAAGACACCGTGTTTTCTGTAAATAATATCAAAAACGATTATTCCTGTAGCGAGGAAGATCTCGTTTTTTTAATGTAAAGGTCTTTTGTTCTTATGCTTGACATGACTTTTTGCAATCCTTGCTGCTTTTCTTGCCAAACTTTTTTCTAGCTATGGTTGACATGACTTTTGTTCTTATGGTTGACATGACTTTTTGCAATCCCTGCTGCTTTTCTTGTCAAACTTTTTTCTTGCTCGTCGTTAAAAAGCACAGAAGAATTGTTCAAAAAAAAAATATAAATAATCTAATTTTACGAGAATACCACAGATATAATATGATAATCCTATAGAATACATAAGTTCTCCCCCATCCCCTAAAAAGAAAAACGAACTATCTGATATCACGAAAATATTGTACATTATCTCAATAAATACAACGAAAGATTCGACGGTATGGAACCTGCATTTATTCGACGAATCAATTTCACGCATAGATCCCCCATACTTAATCGGCTGTATGATCTCTTGTAGGACAATATTTCTCTCATAAACCGGAGGCATTGCGAATTTTCGGCCCGAGCAAAATTGGTAACAAAGCGAGAGCTCATAAATAAAGTGTAGTAAATGAAATGTGTAACACTCGTAGCAGGAACCGTAACTGATTCTACGATATCTTGGAGATTTTCTTTCTTCCTTTCTATAAATCGAAAGTTGTTCTTACTTCGATGGCCGATAATCGGTGTTACGCGTATCGACTGTGGGAATTAATTTATATCGACATATCGAACAGTGTGGGAAAACTGGTCTACAGTCAGTCGACTAATTTCGCATGAGAAGCAAATGTGGGTTATAATGTTCTATTATCCTCTCGACGTACAAATAAAATAGAATTTAACGCGCCCGAAAAATACTGCAGCGTATATCCTTTCCCTAAAATGGGTTCATTTTAAACAAAACAGAATCGACACACGAGTGAAATAATTGAATAATTTAATGTACTGTACGGCATCCACCGGAGACCATTCCTGACGTCTCGGAGATGTCAAAGTCTACAATGGCACATGAAATGAATGACGCTTCTGTTTTGTTTAAAATAAATCCACTTTAAGAAAAGGATATACTGTAGTATTTTTCGGGCGCGTTAAATTCTGTTTTATTTATATGTCAAGGGGTTAAGTACGATAACAAATTACTTGTAATAAATTTTACTTTCGATTTCAAATCACCAGTAATTTATATCACATACTCATATATACTTACCCACACACGCACACACATACACACACACCGAGATAGAGAGAGAGAGAGAGAGAGAGAGAGAGAGAGAGAGAGAGAGAGAGAGAGAGAGAGAGACAGACATGTACTATATATTGTACACATATATATACACACACACGTGTACAATATATTGTACATATGAGCGCGCGCGCGTACAATATATTGTACACATACACATACACACACCCGCGTACAATATAATGTACACACACATAAACACACAAGCGCATACAATATATTATAGACACACACACATATGGAGAGAGAGAGAAAAAGAGAGAAAGGAAGAAACGACGGTCATAGAAAAGAAGCAAGAGATTCCATCAGGATGTAAGTCTGCAGTAAAACGAAAGAAAGTAGATTTCACATGCTCTTCGTCAGAAGCTAATAAAGGTTAAAGAAGAGGCGGTGCACTGTCGAGCCATAGGCAAGTTAATTCCATCAAGGGAGACCTGATTCATTATCCAATATCTAGCCTCGTAAATCGTGCCACCGCTAAATAAATTATTCCCTAGAAAATCGTCGTCTTGCGTTGACCTTACTCGATGGTTCTCACGATTTTCTTTATCACGTTACGTAAACGATCGTACACGTGACATTTCTTTCGATTCTACCGTAAATCAACGATAGAATTTTTTACGTTCCAACAAAATGCTATATAATCCAATTAATTAAACTATTTTCTGTATCTATAAGTTTTCATTGTTATAAAAAAAAGCGGAAACATTGCCAAACGGATGCTTGTCCTCAATCGCGACTACTTGATCGTCAATTAATCGACCATTATTAAATTATACTAAACACATTTGAACTGATAAATTTCTCTTCTTAACGAGTAAAATATAATTTGTATCCATTAAAATTACTTGGAAATAAAGTAATATCAATTTGTAAGTTGAATTTGAATTTCCCAGCGTTTTCAATGATTTTCTGTTACTGTAAATAAACGTTGCACAATACTGTCTATCTGTAAGTTTCCATCGCAGAAAGTTACTTTATAACGAAAGTTCAAGCCCTCACTGACCTAGAGAAACAGTTTTAAAATCGAAAGTCTAACCTTGAAATTTTCGAGTTAATATTTTTGGCAATCCACTTCGGTTCATCCATAAAAATTGTGTGTACTTTGCGGTCACCGGTTATATACATGAAATCTATTCTTACATCCATAAATCCACCCGTCGATCTCTTCGATGTTTTAATCAAACTAAAGTCACCGAAGTTTTATCCAGTGCTAGTACTACTATTTCATTATCAACGATACCTATCTCCCATCTATGTATATATCATCGAAACGGACATTTTTTTATGACTCCGCCTATGAATTCGTCGAAAGATTGAAATACGTGAATGTCATTCTTTACCGTAAGTTCTTCAATGTCGAAAATTAATCATATCTTGGATCCTTGGCAGTTGAAAGAAAGAAAAAAAAAATAATCTGAAATATACCATTCTAAATGAATGTTTTAAAAAGAAATGTATACTTTGTTCTTATTTTTTTTCATATAAAATAATAACTTGACAAATATTTTATTAAATTATTATTAAATTATTAAATTATTACGAACTATGAAAACAAACGAAAATTTAATTAAAAATGCATTAAAAACTTATATAAGAAGTAAATTTGTAAGAATAAAATGTATAAGAAGAATATCGGTCAAGGCTAACAGTAGTCCATTCGCACAAAGCCAATCAATGTTGTAATATAAAGAGAGAAAGAAAGTGAAGGAAGCAAAATGGATAGATACTAAACTAAAGTGTGGCGCGTGCCACACTGCGGGAAGCCTACTAAATATTCGACAATATTGACCAAGTCCCCTACATAAAGTAAACTAATAGAAAAGATTTATGTTTCTAACGAAACACTGTTAACGACACAGTTTCTTTGTTAACAACAGTTTTTTTCTAAGTGTAAAAACATTTTTCAAGGACGAATCTCATAAGATTAGACTTTTGATTCTGTAACTGTTACTGTTAAGAATTTATTACCAACAGATCGGTTTATAATAATATCCATTGTCATTGAACAAATTATTACATAGAAATTGGTTTGAGCTGATTTTGTCATGGTTAAACAATTAAAAATACATTTTTTCTAAAATGTAAGTAAGCTTCAGAGAAGAAAATTGTAATAAGAAATGTTTGTCAAAAGTAGATTGCCCGTGAAATATTCTCATTCGGGTCGAGGACGTTGCATCCTCCCTACGTGTCGAATCGCTGAAATTTTTGCTAAGAATTATGCTCGACAACGTGTTCAATGTCCTTGACATAATATTTGCACATAGAATTTAAAGAGAAGAAATGCTGTCTTTTAAAACACGAAGAAGAGAATCGAGTTTGTTAGAAAAGACGACTTCGAAAGAGAACAAAAAGTATCAGTAGGACATCAGTTTCGAAGTTTGCCAGAGTCATCGTATCCTGGGGTATTTATTATGTCGATAATAAACATTAGGACAATGTCTTGACAACAATGAATCTTTACAATTTCTTTTCGAAAAAACCCGATCGAATTGATTTTAATAATTTCTTATGTGAATATCAATATAATTTGTTTAACCCATTCTACTCCTTTAACGGCAATCATTATAATTCTCGAGACACATACTCTCAAAGATAGAATATTCAATGTAAATATCGTAACATAGCTGTATATACGTTTCATGATCGTGCAAGGTGAACCGCGTAATTCCATCAAATTTGTATAATCTTGAATAATCAACTGGAGAGTTAACTACAGAAAATATACATTTCCTTATCTTTCTTGAAATTATCTATTAAATGTATAAAAAATAATCATCATTTAAAATCTTTTTTTTTTTTTAACAACAGAAATAATTATGTTCATTTAATCCATTACATCGAGCGAATAGACATCAGAGAAAAATAGTGTAAGGATCTCGCAAGCGAAGATAAAGTTAAGAAAGGATAAAAGGAAGGAAGGATGGAGCATCGTCGTGGTCGCAGGTGGCGACGCTCAAAGCCAATTATGCGAACGTAGCACGGGATCGGCGTCGTTCTCGCAAATCCCCATCCTCGTGTACGCGTCGACGGACGGTGAGACGAGGCGAAAGAGGGTAGTTTGGGGTTGGATACGTGATACGATACGAAGAGAGAAGTGCAGACTTGACTGCGCTATAACGAATTAACGGCTACGATTTATTTGCAAGTAATTACTTCCGCCCTTTAATTAACTCGCATTTATTTCGTGTAATGGCGTGTGGCAGCACACAGACAGCTACCTCGTTGCTCCGTTCTTCCACCATTTTCGAAGAAAAGAGTAGTATCACCATGAGAATATTCTCGATTATAATGTCGAATCTGATTCGAAGAGGAATTTGATCTGAGGGGAAATAAAGATCGGCACTTAGCAAAGGACGATCCTAACTGGTACGAAAAATTTCTCCTATCCCTACTGGTAACCATTTAGGAAACGATAAAGTATAGTCCGAGTTCCCAGGACCACCCCTTATCTTTCCTATTATCGATAGCTGGCGAAGGACCAATATGGCCTCTGCGCGGTCGCCATGGTTACGTCCGATATACTCGCTCAACGACGGGGAGTCCCATCATCCGCGTTATTATCGTGCTTCGCCATAAATAAGGAGAGAGCACTATCTCATCTCAGCTTCGCTGGGAGTATATACCGTGTTATATCTTCTATTCATAAAGGATCCATTTTCAAAAATGACTTGCTCTATTAGACGTTCCTAATCTTATTGATATCTTTTCTTTTTTTTTTAAATCAAACAAATTTGATTAAAGAGAATATTGATTCTTTTATCATGTTATGTTTTAGCAATTCTAAACGTATATCATTATATTGGCATAGAGATTAATTAAAAAACACAATTGTCATTGAAAAATGACGACTTTCAAATTAATCCTTTTATCGAAATAAAAGTGATATTTGATTGTAAGACAAATCTGTTGAGTCATTTAAAGCAGAAGGGGAAGAGAATTTCTCGCAAAATGCGAAGGTAGAAGAGGGTCGAAGAAGAGAGCGATGATATCGCTGACGAGAGCCGCCGTATTGGCTGCCACCCAATGCAATTGGGTTGGTTCGCTTGCTCTTGAACGGGCGATAAGACTATGCTGCCGCCATTTTGACTATTACAGTTCTGCTACGAAGACCTAAACTCTCTCCATCCCTTCGTGTGGCTTTTATCGAAAGATAAAGGTTGCACGATTCCGTCCCTACTTAAATTTGCCATCTCTTTTCTAACCCACGTATCTCTAGAAATTATCGAATAAATCAATTCACATGAACATTGTAAATGGAAAAATAGCTTTACGTAATTTTTCGTCCTAGAAAAATGAAATATGTTTTAGGAAATCTGATCTGATCGTATGAGTTGATCTTATGGATAAATTTTATAAAGCAAATCCATGCTTTGTATAAGAATGTAACTTTGTTTCGAAAATTAATTAAATAGCGATATTTGTACTACTATCGAAAGAATCAGAAAATAGGAAAAATGATGATTCATATTCATCGACGGGCAAACATGTGTTCCACATGACAATATATTATGGATTAAAATGGTATATAAACTATCTCTTAGATCTGAATTAGTAACACAAGGTAGCAAGAAGTATCCAGGGATACTTCTACCTAATATACGGATATTCCAAATACAAACCAATACAGTGAAAACATCAACATAAAGACGTTCTTTCTATAATTTACGAAGTGCTGTTTACCGACGAAGATTGCGAGTGGTGCTTAAAGATGACCCAACTTTCTTAGGTATAAACTATGTGAAAGACCATATTCTTTTATGCTGTTCCCTGTAATTTTTCATTTTTATGTTGCATTATTATCAATCATATTTACATGGATACAATTTACGAAGGAGAAAAATTTTGTCGAATTATGAGGAAAAATCAAAAAACAACTAGAAACGGAAATTTTTATTCATTAATACCACTACAAGAAAAAAAAAAAAAAAAAAGAAAAAAGAGACAAAAAAAGACAAAAAAGAAGACAAAAAAAAAATAAGAAACGAATTACAATCGTAATTCAATAAACAAATTTAACCCATTATAGGAAAAAAAGAATAAAAAAATCAAATGGTTAACTCAAATTCTATCGGAATCTTTGATTTATGCCCAGAAAATCGTAAAAATACGTGCTTCCTCTGAAGTTAAAATAGGAAACTGACCGACCATCTTCTGTAAATACGTTTCGTTGCGGTTTTGTGAGTGCGAATGAGAGAGAAGTTTCATTGTAACATAAGCTTTAGTGGACATTACTTATATTTTTGACAAGGACGGTCCCTTAAAATGGACTTTCTAATAGGCTACTGAGCGATCAGTTATTCGCTTTCTTATTTTTCTTCGAGAGGTGAAATAATTTTGTTACATTCGAGCTAATATAACTAAACTTTCTATGAGCTTCTAAAAGTTCCCTAATGGTTTAAAAGATTTGAAAAATTAGATTTGAAAGCAGTTCAATTTTGCTTTGAATAGTTTTGTAAAGCATAAATGAATGGTCTCATACGTACGGTACAGCGATTAATACCAAACGCCCATCATCGAAGCACCATCATGTGCTGACATATGGGCTAAAAGGCTTTCCTAGCGTCCATCCAGTCGTCTTTTCTGCGGGGGTGGTAAATAGGGTGTCATCGTGTTAAATGGCCCTGATGCTCCAGTATCTATTCATGTGGTGTGCTTCTCCTGAATCTAACCGAGGCCAATTCTTGCGGCTAATTTCCACCGTTTATACGTTTAATTGCTTTCGCCAGCCACCTGGACCACTGGTAGCCGCAAGATGTTAGAAGCGATTCCATTTTACAGGCTCTCTAGCGTGTATACGGGGTTTATTGATTTACGAGAACGATTCCATGCGAGGGAGAGATTCTGTGTGTGAAGGGTATCCATTACATTCCAAGAGTGTGCAAGAGTGCGAGCGTTTCTAAACATTATTATTCTCTTCTTCCTCTCGTTCTTCTCGCCAAGATAAAATCCTATCTATCATTCGTCTTTCTCTAAATATATTTATATCCGATGAAGTTCCAGAAACGAATTTCAAATTAACGAGTTATCTCGTAAGAGAGACGAGAAGGGATGGAAATCGAATACGCTTCGTGTCAGAATGTCGTCGCTATCAACGTCCTGTTTGTCTTTCAGGTGACATGGCCATAAATCGCGGCATCGACGGGCCATTGGAAAAAAAACACAAAAAAAGTGAGCAATGGGTAGAGACGAGGTGTGCTCGCGCTCGACTCTCTTGCAATCTCCAGGAAAATGAACGCCATAAATAAGCTCGGCCGGCCAATAATTCCGTCGCGATCGTACAACAAGAGTTTTTCATCGTCGATGGCAAAAGGGTGCCGGTGCTGATACTGGTATTTGTGTTTGTGTTTCTCTGGTAGCGGGTGGTAGGTAGTAGGGGAAACGGGAGGGGTGAAAACGAGAGATTGCCGAGAGTTTGCTCGGTAAAGGGGGAGGAAGACGAAGAGGAAAAAGGAGAGGGAAAAAGGAGAGGGAAAAAGGGGAGGGTGAACGGAATGTTAGAGAAGCTAGCGTGTTCCGTAATCAAATCTAAAATTCCCAGCGTGGAAGAACCCGATGAAAGAGTAACCAACGGGTACGATCGAATCGACACCAGCCGTGTCACATGACTCCAAATAACCGGCCAATGTCCTTCGGCTTCTCTACGAAGAACCTTCTATATATGTTTTCATACCCCTCCTGCCATCCTTGCATCAATCTTTAGATTTCCCCGGAGATTACGGAAAAATTCGTGCGCTTCTCTTTTGCAAGAGTCTACGCTTTTACAGTTGTATCTCAATTATGCGAACATCCGTGGTGGAGCATGGGATTATTCAAAGTATGATATTCTTTATCTATTTATAAAGGATTTTCAAATGCCTCATTCATGACATTTATCTTTGTCAAAGGAAATTCTAAATTTATCTAGTGCATATAAAAATCATTTTTTCATGAAGATTGAAATTTTTAATTGTTTGAAAATATAATTGTATCAAGAATTAAATGAGAGATAGAGAAATTTAATTGAAATTTAATATTTACTTTCATTCAATATTTATGTATATGTAAATAAAATAGTACTCTCTTATTTAGTCAGTTTTAGAATATCGATTTAGTTTAAAAAACTTAAAGACCGGATAATGGAACCAAGTTGGTAATTTATTTATGGTTGTTCTTATAATGTGCAATAGCATTTTGTGATAATATTTATACAATTTTTATGACTGTAAAAATAATATTCCAATAAAGTATACAAAGAATTTATTTTAATAACGACCACTTTAGCTGCTCCTTTGCCGATTGCAATACCTAGAACAAAAGAAAAAACTTAAAAAATAATGAAATGTACCAGGAAGAAAGAAATGCTATAACCCAATTATTCCCAAGAATTACTGAAGACTTACAATCAGGGACTGTTCGAAGAAGGAAGAACGATGCGTGAACACAAAATAAAGAAATCGGAAATATTTCTATCCTCTAGGTTAACGAAGATATATCTAACATTTGTTAATTCGTTTAAATGAATGAAACACACAATTGAGTATTACCTGTGCAACTGTTTGCTCTCCAAGTGGTATATCGTCGGTCCTTAGTGCTACCCTTTGGACAACACTAGTAGCATCAGCATCTAAAATAATCCTTTAAAAAATCTATATTTTAGACGCATTATCAAGTTACAAAAAATATCAATTTTTATATACGTACCCTCCATCACAAATTTCATCCATTGCTAGCATTACTATATCTAAGCTGTCTAAAACTGCTCTTTTCTCAACATTCTTTCTAAGAATCTGACTTACAGAATCATATAAACAATTGAGAACGCTCATCAGAATCAACTAGAACATGTTTTTTGATATTAATGAAAATTATTTTACTTAAAAAGATAAAATTATTTCTATGAAAAATGTTATTTACCTCATTTTCATGAGAACTTCCCATTACATAGAAAAATAAATCTACATTGCTTCTATAAACACATGTTAAACCATCCAGCATAATAATTTCGGCATTAGCTCTGTGAGTTTTATTGAAAAGATTCTTTTCAAATGCTTTCTGTTCTTTTGGTGTTGGGAATATATTTTTATCATAATATTTAGCAAGAATTCTGTTGCCATCATTATCGAGAATAGCCATACCTTTAACGGTATATAGCGTTGGTTCCTGAAATGATAATTTTTAGATATAGGAATACTATTAATGAAACATAGTTTATATAGTAAGATTCATTTTAACTACAAACAATTTAGTTAGTAGTTTAATACATATCCACTATTATAATATTAAATTATGTTTGAAAAATAATTGTATATTATTATCATAAACCCAACTATCAAACATTAAGACATCCTTATGAAAAAAGTTATCAAAACATTATTTACAAAATTATTGATAACAATGACCAGAGAATATTAAAGAAATAGACAAATCAATCAATTAGTTATAAACGCAAGTAATTATCATACACATTTGTAAAGATCATTTTCTACAACGCTGTACGGCATTGCATGGAGGTTATGTTGAGTAGACTTCGACGACCCACCCCGATTCATGATTTCGACCGAACAAGACGACACTTTTAGCGAAACTAAATAGCAATGAAATGAATGTTTACATAAGGTATGCAAAAAATATCAATGTTATTTAACACAACCTACCAGTAACTGACCGTTCATATTTACGTTTAATTTGACGTGTCAAACGTGCCAACATAAACTATATCAAGATCATACTACGTGATTCAATACTATTATTATGGCGCATAAATTTAAAAAGTCATTCAGTGAAACTATTTTCTTATATGCGATAGTATAAATGCATATTGCTTTATAAGATAAAAATAAAAAATATATATATATGTATATATGTATGTATGTATAATATCTATATGCATACAATATTAAGAATAAAATATTTTATTAATTGTTTCATATAATATCACATATACTCTGTACAATATATTACAATCTTAGGATTGAAATATAAACATCTGAAAGTTTTTATTTTTCTTCGATAATGTAAAAATATAAGAATAATGTAATCTATATATACACGTAATAAAATATTGATTTTTTTAAAATTATGGTGTCACATATTAAAATTCTGTTTTATCAAATTCGGTTACATCTACTAATATGTACTGTTGTTACTTTATAATTTTATGTTGTTTTAGGTTTCATAAAACTTGTAAATTTTCGGAAAAATTCAGGACCATTCCATAGACCTCTAAAATGATATAAAATAATTAAAGAAAATAACATTTTCTTCAATTCATATAAGAGAGAGCTACATAAACTATAAAATACATACTTCAACATAAGATTCCAATACATAAATGGGAAGAAATATTTTTTTAGTAAAAACATGAGATATAGCTCTTTGGATTGATCTATGGGAAATGTTTCCATAGGTTGTAATTTATAATCAAATTCAGCCATTATACATTTACCTTGTCCAGTTACTAGTGGACAAGAAGAATATCCTGTATACATCATTGTCATTGGTTTACCAGCTAAGTCATCAATGATATTCTTATAAAGAACTTTTGCCTGAGCAGCTATAAATAGAAAATTATATAAATTTACAACGTCAAGTTTTTTTCTTGTCAGTCATATAATATACAAATTATTTACATAATTATTTATTCATTACCTACTGCTGCCATAGTTTTAGAATTTGGTGTATTCAAACAATCACCTATTCCAAATATATTACAATATTTAACATGTTTTAATGTACCAGAATCTACACATAAAAATCCATTTTTATCTGTCAATTGAGGATGACATTTTAAAACATCTGGAGGTCCCATAGGAGGACATACATGTAGCAATGAGTACTGTGAATATAAATATATAATGTAAGTATTTAAATTATACAATATATTGTATAGAATAGTATTGAAGTACTCACTGTCATCGTACAAGTTTCACCTGAATTATCTAACTTCTCGAATGTTGCTTCTCGCTTACTTACATCTATTTTTACAAGATTTGTACTTGTATTAACAATAATGTTTCTTTCATTGCATATTTTCCAAAGAACATCCGCATATTTTTTAACACCAAAAATGACAGGTAATGATGTATTATAAATTACTTCTATGTTATTACGTACATTCGTCTGAAATAGACAAAACAAATAGTTTTAATATAATTCACTTATGTACATTTTACATTTTGTAAATTAAAAATTGTATGAACGTACTTTTCTAAAGTAGTCTTCAGCGAGATAAGCAATTTTCTGTGGTGCACCTGGACATTTGACAGGAGTATTTGGAAAAGTAAATATAGCTGTACCATCCTTAGTTTTTTTAATTTTATCAAATACATGAGGTACAGTGTTAAATCCATAAATAGAACAAACTTGTGATTCTGCATTTTCAAGACCATCTACTAAACCTGGTAACTATCAAAATTATTATAGAAATCAGATACATATTCATATAATGGAAAATGAAAAGATATACAATTATAATAAAGAAAATTATTATTTACTTACTTGATCCCAATTAGTTTGTAAACCTAATGCAATAATTAAAATATCATATTGCACTGTATCGCCATTATTTGTAGTAATTTGATTATTTTCTGGATCGAAACCAATTACACTATCTTTTATCCACTTTGCATTTCGTGGAAGTACATTCTTCATTGGCTTTTTTGAATAATTGTATGAACCCATACCAACACCGATTAAAGTAAAAAGTGGTTGATAATAATGAACCTATATAATAGTTACACAAAAATTATAATTAAGTTGCATAAAATAATCATACTTATTAAACAGAGTATATCATAATCATTACTCTTACTTCTTCTGGTTCGACTATTATAATTTGATCGGATGATCCTTTAAACTTTCTTGCAAATTTTGCTGCCATAGTACAACCACCAGTACCACCACCGACTATCAGTATTTTGCAACTATAAATAGATAATAATTATAAATGAAAATAATCACAATTAAAAGACTAATCATAAACTGTCTACTTACGAATGATGAACTTGTCTATGTATGTTTTTAATAAATAAGCTTTTAAAAGATAATAAGGAATTGTGATTCATTGTGAGAGATGTATATAAATTCATGCTTTTTATATAACTCATCTCTGAAATAAATAAAACAAGAAAGAATATATTATTTATAATAATATATCGGAATTGAAAAGATTTATTTTCTACATAAAATTTAATGAACTAAAAGAAAAAGAATACATTGCACAATATATATATGTAAACATTCAAAAATATATTATTACATTACTTCTGGAATGTTTCAAAATATTTTTTAACATTGATATAGTTAATCATAGTTAATTATATTTTAGAAATTGTACATAATACCATAAAAATGTTGTCTATATAATCCAGGGATATGCATGTAGTGAATACACCAACGAATTTTAATCGATTTATTTACTATAGTTTCGATAAATCTTATATGAATAGAACCAATTGTATAACGTAATAATATTGTTTTACCAATAGAAAGATATTGTACGACATGACGTGATAACCAATTAATAGAGATTATGGAAATCTGGTTCTATTTATTACCTAAATCTTTTATTTGACATAAAAACTTAAATATTTATCCTATCAAATTAATGGAAAATATTTCTATTCTTTCTTAATTACCATAAGATTCTGCATGTTTTTTTACCCGACGATTTATTTGTTAAATAATGTCATCGTAATATACATACAACATTTACAGCTTTTAATAGTCACGAGTCAATAAAATAAAATATAAAGATGTATATATCTACCTTTTATATCTTATCGTAATTTTTTTGAAGTGTTAAAAACTTCCGTTTTATTTCGTTAAACTAATTGCAAAGAACTACTACGTAGTTGGCACCATTTTGCCAATTAGCGAGGTAGCGCGAAATTTAAGTGGCGACAAAACAAAAGGGACTTTATACTGTTTTGTGTCAGTATTGAAAATATTTATCTTTTTTTTTCTTGATTCTCTATTCTCTATTTTCTCTAATTTTCTGAATTAATATAATGAACAAAAAGAAATGTTTCAAAACTTGCTATTCAAAAATCTTCCATGAAATTGATAATCTTTATATTTTTGAGAAACTTTTATTGAAAAATTTCATGTCACTCCAATATAGCTTACTTTTTAAAAATATTATAAATTATTTTTTTTTACGAACTTAGAACAATTGGAGAAGGAGAAATAATGAAGACTATTAATATATTATATTTTTAGTTATTTTGTTGCTGCTCTCTTTATTAAGGATAACTTTCTAACGCCGTCCCGAATTAGTAGGCAAGCTTAGCTCGTTTCCAAGTATTCCCAAACGTAATATTTTTCATTTTTTTTAAAAGAAATTCTAACAATAGATATAGAAAACTTATTCATTCAGGAGCACTTGAAACAGAAAAGATATACATATATATACATATATATACATATATATATATATATATATATATATATATATATATACATATATATTTATATATATAATATATATATATAAAACTTAATTTGACTTTTTACTGGAGAAAAATGATATAAGTGAATGTTCAATGTTTTAAATTAATTAGCATTCCTCTATCTTCATTTTTTCATAAAAATAGAATATATTCTGTAAGAATACAGTTAAAAATTATTTACTTCAGTTTGGATATTTTATAGTTATGATCTCACATCGAAGAGTAAAGATTTTTGTCGTTTGACAAAAATTCAAACGATTTTCTCTTCAATAAATGATGATCCATCACTGTTTCTAAAGGAGAGAAAAAAACAAATTTTTCCAAATAATAATAACAAATAGTGAACTTTGAATGTAGTTTTCTTTTCTCCAATTAACGAAACCAATTGGTAAAAAAATAAAAATTCACCTATTATAGAAATTAAAACTTTTCAATATGAACAACGTGATTTCCGAACAGAGCAAAGATATTCGATTTTTATGATAATCGGAAGGAGGAATACTCGCATACACGATTTCAAAATGAACCATACAAACTGTACGCTCGTATCTTCGCAACTGAGAATTTCTCCGAACCTGAGCGTCTTTTCAATGACGTCGAGTTTCATCGAGCTTGATAGTGAGCGTCGAGCTGAGTAGGGGAAAAAGTGGAAGGGGAAGATGCGCGAGCAAACACGCGCGAAATACAAATGCACGACTTGCGAACGATAATTAATAAGAGATATATATATACACACACACACACATATATATATATACGTATATATGTATGTACGTATGTATGTATGTATATTCTCCTTGAATCGTCGCTCCTTCTTCTTCTAACTCCTTATATACTAAAGTTTATATACATCATGGACGTGGGTTATTATTCCCTTGGCTTCTTTCTCGTTCGTCCATCTTTTTAAAAATTTCATTTCATCGTTATATACTTCTCGAACATGGAAAAATTAGTGGTTTTTTTAAGGGAGAAAAAAAAACAACTTCTAAAACTTTCCTGTTTTGTCGAGAAGCAATGGGATTTTCAATATTTTTTTTTTTATTTTTATTGTTATTATTTAAATTATTATTATTATTTATTTATTATTAATATTAATAATATTATTATTATTTCGGGAAAACACTGCCGATAATACCATCGATCGAATCTCGTCATTTTTCATATCGCCATCATTTTTCGACACCGACTCGCGACGATACGATTTTCCTTATTATGTTTCGCTGCCTCAGCGACATATGTACGCTTTACATTAAACATTATCTATTAATTAAAAACGATTAGCAATAAACGTCACTTCTATCGTAGAACAACAAAAAGCTAGAACTTCAAGAAAGTAATACGCATTTTCATGAAGTAAACGTTGAAGTTGATTCGAAAATTATTATGTATTTTCGAAAAAAAAAAATAAAAAATCCTTTTATAATGCACATTTGCTCTTTTTTTTATGTTTATTTTTTGTAAATTTTTCGTATATACTTTTTTTCATTCAACTTGATTCCGACATTTTTTTTCCTTTTTTTTTTCTTTTCCTCTTTAGTTGTGCTTATATCGTATAGAAATCCACGCTCTGTCTGAAATGTAAAAGTTTTCTTCATTTTTCATATTAATATTAATTAAAAATGAAAAATATTCTTGCGTTTGGAAAAAATGGCCGACGCGTATTTTATCACGTCGAGAACGAGAAAGCGTTTACTGCTAATATATATTTATATAATATATGTTTATAATTGTTCGCTAAAGGAACGCTTTAAAGGCATATTACTTTATCGATATAATGTTCGAACATATAATACATTCGATCGTAACGAACAACGAACATGGTTTTTCCTCTTCTCCATGATCGTTCGTACTTTATCATTCGGTGCCGCTTTGATATGCACAGCGAGAGAAAAGATGTGCAAAGGATGAGAGAGTGAGATTGATTGGTTTTATATATATATATACTATATAAAAGAAGGAAAAAAAAAACAAAAACAAGATAAATCAAGAAATTAAATCATGTTTAAACACATTGGGATCGTTGGTCAAATAACATGAATTCTTTGTTTAACAGAAAAAAAAGAAAGATTAGGAATATCATTCATCTTATATATTTTCAAAAGTGTGACCCCGAATAGTCGAGACGTATGTATATGTATATACGAAAATTAATGTCTATTACACGATCGTTTCTCTCTCAGCAAGCGTTATTACACATTTTCAGTGTTCTCTGTGTATACGGTGTAATGCGTTCGTGTTAACATCGTGTATCAGTGTTATACATTTGGTTTATTTTGGCATACAAAATAATTTTATTTACAGTCTGACAATAATATTAATTATTTATCGATAGTCTTTTATACTAAGTGGCAATAGTATAATCGAATTACTTATTACATTATGCAGTTACGGCTATTTACATCAACAAAAGAAAAAAAAATTAAAAAAAAAAAAAAAAAAAAAAAGAAAAAGAAAAATAAAGACACGAATAAATACCTCTTGGACGTGGTTCAAGTTTATCTTGTGTGCTTGCTCATTGACCATCTACGGATCGTTTCGTCGACAGGGACATTTATATTCTCAATAGGAGTTAAGATTCTGTGAAGGGATTAAACTATGTGACGCGCTAACAACTGTAAATGCACAATCTGTAAAATGAGCCGCACTACAATCTAAAATATATTTCTAAATATATAAAACACTAGTGTATATCACGCTTTCCGAAGAAAATAAAAAGTCAATTCATGTGAACGTGAGATACACGCAATACATATTTTCCACAACTATCCCTTCCAGAACTTATATTAAATTATTAAAAACAAATGAGAGAAAGAAAAAAAAGCAGAAAAAATAGATTGTTCAATATAATTGATCTAAGGAACTTCGAAATTCTTTTATCAAAAATGTCCTCATGCAACGAATCGATCGATAATCGATTTGATCGTTGAGAATAAAGCACAAAATGTTTAACGCTCTTGCAAACAATTATGCAAGATAGAAATATAGAGAATTACTATAGATATATTTATATATATATATGTATATAGACAGAAAGATAAGAAGGAAAATAGACATAGGAACAAAGATGAGAAATAGTGAGGTGAAAAGAGGCTAAAGCGAATTTGTTAGTTTACATGACGCAATCTTGATGCAAACAGTTTTACAATATAGCTTTACAATATTGCAATAGTCACTAAATGACGACTCAGCAAATTAAGATACTCTTGTATTATTTGTCAGCTGATAATTAAACTAATGATTTATTGTTCTTTATAATCTACCGTTATATATATATATATATATATATATATATATATATATATACACATATATATATGCATATATATATATACACATATATATATACACATATATATATACATACATATATATATACATATATATATATATATATATATATATATGTTCCACGGTTCAATGTTTTAATAGAGATAAAGAAATTTTTACGAATTAAATGATACATAAAAATACAATAAATATAGTAAAAAAAAAAAATAAGCAAACAGACGAATAGTACAAGCAGTATCCGCAATTACTTGTCAAAGCAAAGTTGACTACAATTGTGAAAGCCATAGATGCGTTTTAGCTTCATTGGCAGCCTCATATTCATTGAAAAGATTCAATGAATTCAATGATCAAGAATGAGGAACTAAAAATATAATGAGAATGAAAATAGAAGAGCGAGAGAGAGAGAGAGAGAGAGAGAGAGAGAGAGAGAGAGAGAGAGAGAGAGTCCGTTCGCAAAAAAAAAAAATGTCTGCGGACTGGAACGAAGTAAAGCCGCTTTCTCTTATTTACCTATCGCGATCTAAATCGACCTGAGTGAGAATATCTTTTTCTTTTTTCTCCTTATTTCTCTCAAAATGTTTCTATTTAATATTTCGAAAGAAGCATCCCTCTTACGAATCAAAATTCGATTTACGTTAAACTTTGGCTAACGTAAGAGTTTACTAGTCTCTACACGTCCTTTTCGTTTGTGTAAGCGTCATATATCTTTGTTTTCTTTCGTTTGGGATGAAAAAGTGAGAAAAATAATTAAAAAAAAAAAAAAAAAAAAGGAGAAAAAAAGGAAAAAAAAATAAAAACAAGAAGAGAAGTTACGTGTAGAAGAGCAAAATGAAATAAGAATAAAACCACCGACACCGACAGGACGCGAAACGACGATATACCATGAAAGAAACTTTCTCTTCTCTCTTTATACGAGTATATCGCACATTCAAAATCGATCGACAAGAAATCGATCTTTTCTTTCTCGTAAAATCCAATTTTGTTTCGATGACGTCGTCGTATTCGTCGTAATCATCGTCGTCATAGTCGTCGTCGTCATCGTCGTCATTGAAGCCTCGAAGTATTTTTTCTCGTTGGCTTTCAGGTGCATCGGGAGTTTCGTTTCTGTCTCTTCGATTGGTGGTAATGTAACATATAGAATGACTTCTGAGGTGGACGCACATCGATCAGGGCACTTCTTCGATGAATATATATATATATATGGATATATATATATATATATCCTAAATTATTATGTCGGCTTACTGATGCCGTTTTATCCGGATATCTCGATACTACGTAGCATGGGATTGTTGACTTTGTGACACTTTGCTGGTACTCTTGTGATGACTGGACGTGTGCCTTTCCTAAAATCAATAATGAACAATGAGATATGGATCTATCGATATATAATCGAATAATCGATAACTCGCTATTCTTATCAAATATTTTTTCAAGAAAAGAACAGATACATTTTAAAAGATTATATTCCAGTCTTTGGACAAAGTTAAAAGAAATAAAAAACAAAATAATAAACAAAGTAAATACATAAATAAATAAATAAATAAATAAATAAATAAATAAATAAATAAATAAGTAAATAAATGACTAATGAAAACAATATAAAAACATTTATTAACGCGTCCGTATATGGTTTTATGTACTTTAAGTGTTGTATATTCTAAAGATCAATATTTCTCTTACAATAATATTGAAAAAATAATTCAACTGCACGAGATCATATTGTGTCAAAGCATTATATTATGGTGAAGTGAATGGACGATGAAGAAGCAATCTTCAGAAAGAAGTCATAAAATATATAGCATAGAAATGCTCTTTGATTTATCTATAATGAGAGTGGGAGTATAGGGAGAGAAGGGGAGGAGAGAGAGAGAGAGGAAGGGAGAGGAGAGACTAAACTCAACGTAGCTTACTATGAATAGTAGGATTAGATAAATGGGAGGGCATACGAGGAAAAAGTATTATGCGTCATGCTATGCACAATAACACAATATAGGCGCATACACTAATAGAACATGCACGTGCTAATTATACAAAATATATATATATATACACACACATGTATATATATATATATATATATATATATATATATATATATATACATGCATCATATAACGAAAGGAAAACACAAAGAAATAAATGTTTAAAGAACATTTCTGTAGTTTAACCTTCACCAAGCAAGCATCAAATGAAACGACAACGACGGAACGGCCTAATACTTAATCCTCGTGAAACGCGTGTTCTCGCATATATATATATATATATATATATATAATGTGTGTGTATCTGTGCGTGTTCCTGTTTAAGTATGTATACTGTATGTATATACGTATGTATATGACATATAATGAGAGAATTCTAAATTTCACATGGCGTTCCTATATCATACACTAAAGCTGTGATATGTTAGTACATAAAAAGATGCGGCGATACGATGTGCGATATTATTATGGTATTATGTGAAGAAAGAGACAAAATAATTACTAAGGTACGTTTCAATTTCACAGAATGTTTATTTCCCTTGATTTCTTTTATATATATATATATATGTGTGTGTATATTTTTTATTACTATTCTTGGTCAAACACATGAGGCGTACGATCCCTGCTGTGCGTTGCCTAATGGGTCAATCCTATCGAGGAGATCCATAATAATTAATAATTCTACTTTCGTATGATAAAGTATAGTCAAGGAATAGGCCACATTATATATTTTCTTTTATTTGGTTTTTTTTTCTTTTCTTCTTCTCCTTCTTCTTATTATTATTAATTTCAATTATATCTAAGTACTGAAATTGTTCATTTGTATAATCGTGGTAACGTTAACGCTAACAATCATTTTAAACGCAATCAATGCCTATAAATGATTTTGCAAGCGCGATGCATTGCGAGATTTTGCATGCACGATCTTAAAAAGAAAATAGGTAGCATACGCGGGCAAATAAAATTTATACATTGTATACATACTTAACGCATTTGTTTGTTTCTTTCTTTTTTGTGTATTTCAGCATTTATACATTTTTTTTTACTAGAATCTTCTTCATCGATCTTCTTAACAATTACATTTTTGCTTGTTTTTATTTTTTGTTTTATTTATATCACACATGTCAAGCATCACTCACACGCGTGAGCAGACGCGCGCGCCTGTTTTGTTTGTATTTTTTTTTGTTTAACCTATTTTATCAATTTCTGTATTATTTATTTATTTATTTATTTATAAGTTTATCCCCTATTCTTTCTCTCTCTCTCTCTCTCTTTCTCTCTCTCTCTCTCTCGCTCTCTCTCTCTCTCTCTCGCTCTCTTATACTCCATATAGTCAAAGGATACAAAAGCTACATAGATTTACCTTAGCAATTATTTTGTCATCCTATGCCTGCCGCGAGTGCACAATTTTTAAATAACGTACAATTTTTATTCTTCTAAGTATATCTCTTCATATCTTTTCCTTATATAAGATTTTACGATACCTTTTAGATGTATACAATATTAACACATATTCGGATTAGATAAGAATTAACGCTCATGTTATAATAAGTTTTAATCAATTAAGAAAGAATAGAACGATCCGTACATATTTCTCTTTCATGATTAATTTTTATACAATTTATATATATAGCAAATATTATAAATAATGTAATGAATTATGTAATCAAAGTGAAAATAATATTCTTTCGTCTTTTAAATGATATTGTAGATATTCTATTATCTACACTGTGTCAAGATGTACAATTATTATTCTATTCCTTCCAAAAAGATTTAGCCTTTTTCTCACCCTCCAGATTATTCTGCGCATATAAAAACTTATACACAGAAACGATAAAAGAAAAATAAGAACGTCTGTTTACAAGTACATGTGCCCATCAAAAATAGTTTCTCGCTCCATGCAAAACCCAAATAATTCTATATTTTTATTATTTTTTTTTGTCTTTCTTTCTTTCTTTTGAAAACTTGCAAAGCATTTTTTTCTTTTTTTTTTCTTTTTTTTTTCTTTTTTTTTTCTTTTTTTTTTTTAATGGTAATTTGCATGGGAAAAAAGAAATAATCACTATGATCGTAATGATTTCGCAAATAAAATGCGTATACTTTTACTAGCATAATAGCGCGAAAGCAATTTATATCGCTATAATAATTACAGTTATAATGTCACAGCAAGAAAATGGTTTCTTTCTTTTTTTACATTAATGATAATCGTGTCACAATATTATTATAATCCAAATGATCTGTAAATGTGCATATATGCACATTATTCTGTATAGTATTAACACATTTTCAGTCAATAATATAAATGCATAATATATATATATACATATATATATATATATATTTATATATTTATATATTTATATATTTATATATTTATATATTAAGCATGTTATTTGATTCATTCCGATTCTCTCTCTCTCATTCTCCCTATCTCTTTCATTCCCAACCCCTTTTTTACTTATGCACTCTAACTTTCATTCTCTCTCTCTCTCTCTCTCTCTCTCTCTCTCTCTCTCTCTCTCTCTCTCTCTCTCTCTCTCTCTCTCTCTCTCTCTCTCTCACTCAATCACTCATTCATTCATTCACTCATTCATTCATTCACTCTCCCTCTCCTTCTTTTTCTCTATACATTCCTGAGTTAATATTTGTTCTATCAGTACCCTTTGTGTTCCTTTGCATGTACAGCTTAGAACGCGAGTAATAAAAATAATATGACAAGCTCTCTCTTTAACCTAAATGAATTGAGAAAATAAATAAAATTAATACGATTGCTACACGATCAATAATCAAAAATCAAAAGACCATTACACGAATAAAATATACAATATGAAATTTATACACAATCCTACTAATATATTTATTAGTTTCATACTTAATTAATTGGCAAATTAATTTCGCGCGTTAATTTTTATCTCTATAACTTTACTCAAAAATATTTCCAACACTTAGTCTATACATATATACCACATAAACTTTCCTTTTCCGTATCATTAAATATGTTTAAACAAAGTATACTTAACCGAGCAATTGCACGCTCTGATGATAAAAACTTAATTGCAATTATAGAAACTTTTTTCTATTAAACAAAATAAGTAGATAATATAAGGATAACTTTATAATACACCCACTATTCTATTTTGACTGCCTAACTCTTACTTCCTAAAATTGTTTAAAACACTTAAATATATAAATCGTATCCTCTTACGAAAGAGACGATATATCAGTCCAAGTATTAAATTTACAATGGTACACACATATTAAATCATTGTAATTGGTGCAACAGATGGTAATGGTAAAAGGAAGAAATTAATGCAAATAAAAATTGAGAAAAAAAAAGCTGCATTAGAAAATAGCTAAGTACAAAAAAAAATATATCATATGTCATATACTACTGACTTGTCTACAATCTTTACGATCTAAGGCATCTTTATGCGTGTATGCATGTGAATGTGTGTGTACATATATATATATATATATATATATATATATATATATATATATATATATATATATATATATACATACACACACACACACACACACACACACACATTTATATAATATTTCTGAAGTGATATTACATATTATTAATTTCATTGTACTAATTGTGATGTTTGTTTGTATGCATATTCTTCTTTCCTATTACAATAAGAATGTTCTTAGAAATGCTTTTATATGATACAATGGGAAGGGGAAAAAAAGAATTATGTAACTTTACAAATAATTTCTTAAACTATTGGTTATTATCTTCTTTAATAGCAAATGATTTTTTTTTCAACTTTCAATAAAGAATAACTCAATTATAATTTTTCACTAAGAATAACTCAAATAATAAATATAAATTGATACAATGAATAAATCTTCTGTATCTAAATATATAATTTGCCATTGAATAGGCATATAAAAAACTTGGATAAATTGTTAAATCAGATAAAAAATTGTAAACTATTTAAGAATATTTAAACTTTCGAATGATTACTTAATTAATTACTAATTTATTCTTTGTAATTATCATCACATATATAATTTTTCATAAACAATTGATTGAAAAATTATCTAATTCGTTTTTTTTTACATTAAGCGTACTAGTTATTACACGGTAATGTATTTGTTAGAACATTCTTGTTATAAGAACATCTTGCTTCATGATCCTTTGCCAGCAAAGGAAAGTATTCAATAAGTAAAGTTATTATTTTTAAGTATCCTCACGATAATAACTCGTAAGCTCTGTTTTAATTACTTTTATCAACGACTTGTCATACCTTCTGATCAAAATGTAAATATCAATAAGAAATTAAGGAATTCCTTATTTTCATTAGCACTTTAATATATGTTAATCCCTTATTGCATGTAGTAAACTTCAAAAAAAGAAAAACTATTAAGCACAAAATGAAAAAAACATGTAATATTACTTTCCTCTCTGGTATCTGGCAGTGTTTGGTATGTTTCAAATTTTACAATTTTTGCTACTCCCTTCCTAAAAAGAAAAAAAAAGGGAAAAAAAGGAAAAAAAAAAGAAAAAAGAAAAAAGAATTGAAAAAGGAAAAAGAAAAAAGAAGAAAAAAGAAAAAAAATCTAAACTAATAACCTCAATTCGACAATTCAAAGTTAAACTACAAATAAAAGCAAATATTTGTATTACTTCAATTAGTTTACTATTTTTATGAATAACAAATAGTCTGTCGACGTAGAGAAATAAATTTTTTTCAGTAAAATATTATTGAAAATATTTAAAAGCTTAGCCGATAATTTTTATCTCTCAAGGAACATTGTCTTTGCAATGAAAAAACCTTAAAAAGGTCATAGATAGTCTTTTTATATATATGTTCATAAATTCGTAGTAAATTAACACATTCAATATTCATATTCGCTATATTTCTTGAAAACTTTCGATCGAATTAAAATATCTTCTTCCACACATTTGTCGTTGTCTTCCTATTGTTGTCATCGTCCTCTGAATAATTATCTTCAGATTGAATAATAATCATTTCGTATTTACTTTAATGAAGTCATATGCTTGAAAAATACTCTAAAAAGATATGCTACAGGTACAAAGGTGGAAAGATAGATGTGGTAGTATATAACAATAGGTAAAAGATATCGTACGATGCCATGCTGCTACATCTACCATTCACAAACTTTAGGGAGTCAAAGGATGACAGAGGCAAGTAGAAAATTTACTCCTTCCGTAAAAAAATGACAGAGAGTTTACTTCTACAAAATAATCAACCACTCTTCTCCTATCCGTGCTATGTCGAAGCAAGAATTACCTTTACTCCCGACATACTTATAGATTTATTATCTAAAAATAGTCATTTAAACTTAATAAACATTCTATATTATTATATACCCTAATCTAGTGTGATGTAAAAATAATATTAGATATTTATTGATATGAAATCAAAAAAGGATTGACTAATAGGTATTCTTTTAGATTTCATAATTAATAATGTACATACACTGTACGAATTATAAAAAAGATATATACAAAAGATTCTCCGAACCTTTGATTAAAAAATTTGCTGACAAGCACGGATAACGGATCGGAGAGATAGTTCTTTTTTTATCTATATATAAATTAAGCACTACCTCGTGAGCTACATATTAAATTCACTACAGAAAAAGAAAAATTTGAGTGCAGTCGCAACTACTCTGGGGGTGGGGGTGGGGGTGGAGAAGAACTCGGGGGTGGTCCAGTAGGCAACGGAGGCGGTTTGTCAGATTCTTGTTGAGCAGACACGCCCGACTGATGAGTCGGTCGTACAATCATAATGGGACTTCGACGTACATTGGTAGGTAATGAGGGTGGTGGAACGGACGTATCGATGGCGCCATCCGGTGTCATTATGACATTGCCCGCCGGATACATGGAATATTGCTGCTGATATTGTTGATAATAACTCATAGCAGGGTCATACATGTATCCGGTAGCAGCGGCGGCAGCGGCGGCGGCGGCGGCGGCAGGATTGTATATCGAGGGCGGTGGAAAATTGGTGAAGTTAGCAAAATATGAATCAGCCTGGGCGACGTGAGTAGCCCTGTTATAGGCCGTATCAGTTCTATTGGATGACGAAGGATGATTAGAGGGATGGTGGGCATTGATATTACTATAGGTATCCTGCTGATAGTAGCCGTCACGTTGACCGGCTACACTGAAATTGCCAGCCGATCCTGATGGTGGTAGCCCGCGCTTGACATACTGGCGGCCGCCTCTGCCACCTCCACGTACCTTGTTATTGCTGCCTGAACTATAGTGTCTGCCGTTCTGCCTTTCCCCAGGACGATGTTGACCGTAACCACCGGCGGCCATTGATGAGATCTGCTGTGATTGTTGTTGTTGTTGTTGTTGTTGCTGTTGTTGCTGCTGCTGTTGCTGCTGATGGTGGTGATAGTGATGATGGTGTTGTTGTTGTTGTTGCTGTTGTTTCTTCGTCGGTGGGACCACGTTCGACGTACTCTCGTTGACATCGATTCTTTCTCTCTTTCGACCATCACCTGAATAGTCTGGCACACTACCGATCGTCGAAGCGCTTGTCGTCGTTACCGGTACGCTACCCGTTGAACTTCTCCAAATCGCGTCCGTTCGTATTTTCATTTTTAACGGTGCCTGTGGCACCGGTTGAGCTTGCGTACTCGGTATACTTTCCGCACTCTTCAATCGATCTTTTAAAATTTTCAACTTCAGACCCGTACCTTGAGGTGATTTGTTTTTCTCCGGTATGACGATAGTACCGCCACTGGTAACGGCTGTTTCACTACTAAGATTTAACTTCTCTTTAGGTATTGTTATCTTGATCGGTGCAGCCGGTAACGTCTCCTCATTTTTCTCCTTATCTTTTTCACGGTGCCTTTCTTTGTCCTTGTCTTTGTCCTTGTGTTTGTGTTTATGTTTTTCTTTACTCTTCTCCTTATCTTTATGTTTATGTTTTTCTTTCTTTTTTTTCTTCTCGCTCTTATGATGCTCCGTTTTCTTCTCTTCGACCACTGTCGGCACTGTTGGCTGTACCGTTGTTGGTACGGTCTGAACTATTCCATCTGTATTATTTTGTACCGGGGCAGATAGAACACTAATATCAACCGTTGAAACTACAGACGTTTCATTCATTGATGAAGGCAGTGTCATACACTGTGTTTGTACTGCTAATTGGCTATCAGGAAGTAACAATGAATGAGAAGTTATGGGCTGTTGATGTTGATGCGAATGTTGATGTTGATGCTGCAGTGTCTGTGATTGTACTTGTAATTGCATCTGTGCTTGTTGTTGCTGTGGCAACTGTTGCTGTGGCGGCTGCTGTTGTTGCTCTTGCTGAACAATATGCTCTTGATGCGCTTGTTGTGGTGTTATTTGACTAAATTGCTGCATTCCTTGCAGTAAAGATGGCAAAGGAGCTAAAGGTTCCTGCAATAGAGCACTTATACTTTGAGCCGTTTTCATTGGTGATAAATATTCAATTTGCACTGGTTGTTGTTGAGTCTCAACGCCTGTATCCAACCCATTTGTAACCATACTACCGAAACGAGAAATCACAGGTTCCGGTTCAAACGGTTTAATTAATTCTGGTGGTTGTAAATCGCTAGCCACCGAAGTACTTCGACCATTTGACGAAGGATTATCTCTGATTGGTTGGATAAGCTCTGGTACTCTACCAAGCATCTTCATGGCCTCTAAACTCGATGTATCTTCCATCTTGATTTTCAACTGGGACTCATTTTCACTAGAACTTGTAGTCCGATGTCTTTTATGAGATATCGTTGACGCATCAGTAGCTGAACGTTTCATTGATATTGAATCAGTTTGTTGTAAACCTGGCGGACTCGCGAATGGTGACACCAAATTAAGACCAGTTAATGTCTCTGGCGCACGTTCTTTAGGAACTTTAACAGCCGAAGGTGGCGTTTTTTGCTTCGATTTAGGCCTTTGAGAGTGAGACTCCCGACTGGTTTGCACTTTTTCCGGACTAAATAATGATTTGTGTTTGTTTGTTGGTGTTTGTAACAAATTTTGTTGTTGTTCTATCAATTCATCGTGTCGCGGACGTTTTTCAGCTTTTGGATCGTCTATATTATTTAAAGGCGTTAAACACGAGGATTGAGAATTTCCATTTTTAATCGAATCTTTTAATGCTTGTGGAACACCATAAGCAGAATGCTGATTTATCGTGGGCTTAGAAGATATGCTTTTTTGAGAGATTTGTGGTAGAGATGCGAGGTTCGTCGGAGATTTTTCTTGAGAGAATGCGTTTTGAGACATAGCGATCGGTTTCATATCACCTATAAACGCACTGGTGCTTCCTTGTGGCTTATCTGGTTGACTATATTTACCATGATAAGACTGTTTCTGTATATTGGCAGCATGTTGTACATCCAATGCTGGTTTTGGAAACGGTACAGGTTTTTCTATAAGTTTACGTACTTCTTCACATCTCTGTTCTAAAGTATCAGATTTCCGTTGTCTATCTCTCGACGAATCAGGATATTTATTATAAGCTTTTTGATCTCCATCTTTCCTATGATCTACAGTTTTATGTCTTGGATCATAGACTCTTTTGTCGTGAGATTGATGTTTTCCATCCATTGTGCTTAACCTTTGTAAATTGTGGTTGTTATTACTGAGATTGTCTGGTAATGTAGCAACGTCAGATCTATGTGGTGTAATATCTGATAATGTGTTGTCTACGTTTACATCCTTTGTTTGATGTATTGTATGACCATGAGAATGCACTGTACTACTAGTTGAACTACTACTAGAATTGTATTCCCTTTGTATCCTCTGTCTACTAGGATCACGATTGGGTTCTCGCGGCTGATTCCCTGTAGAATGCCTTTGTGGTACTGGTTGACTAACTTTCATCTCTTGTCTGTGATGATGATTATGATGTAATGTAGTTTTTTGCCCCGGTGGCACGGAATGCTTATTAGGTATATTTGTTCCGGACACAGGTTTATGATGATGTGAGTGATGTTTATTAATATCAACTGCATGACTTTGTACACTTGTAACTGGAGTTGTTGCTTTTTCTCTCTCTAAACGTTCACGTTCTTTTTTCTCTCTGTATTCACGATAGTCAACAGGTGGTCTTGTATTTGTCGGAGGAAGTTGTTTCTTTTCTTCCTGTTTTTCTATATGATGCGGCCGATTAGAATGAAATGTTGGCCCTCCATCCGCCGCCGATGCTGGAGATTGAACTTTTCGTGGTTCAGCATCCTATAAAAACGTCAAATATTTTATTGGAATATACTCAACAATTGGAAAGAACAAATTTTGTATAATAGTTGTTTAAAAAACAAGATATTTTTTTATTTACAATATTAGATCATTGTATAAAAATACTCACAAATGGCGAATTTGGCAAACTTGGGTGATTGATACTTGGGCTTTGATTAGCAGAAATGCTCATAATTTTCCTTTTTAATCTCGACGGACATTTGTCGAATATATGTAGAAATTCTGCTGTAAGTTGTTGTAGCAGCTCTGAAGTTACAGTTCTATCAACGTACCAAAACCAATGTTTTCCTTCATTACTTTGAGGTATCTGTAATAAAAGATGATAATATAATATCTTACACTTTTTATTCATTGTATGAAAATATGCAATTATTTTGTACGATATATATTTATCATTATAAATGACCAAAAATAAATATTAAAAATAAAACAATATAGAAATTTGTAATACATTATTACCTCCCAATTGGACCATTTACATGCTAAATGGATACAGAAACAGGCGACTACTGTGGGTTTGTATTGCAGACACATTGTTGTTAAATGCAAGCTGAAAAAAAATAATATTTCAAATTATTCCAGTAATTTTATTTCTCTACGAAATAATTTTCTAGTAAGATGTCATATAATATACAAAAACATTCCATTTTTATATTAAAAAAATAAAAACGGAACAATATTATAACAGATAATTAATTCTCTTAAAAATTATACTTCTTACTTAAAAGTTATTTATGAGTAAAACAAGAAATTTTTAATGACAATTTACTTTCTTGGTCTCATTAAATTATTATATTGGAAAAAAAAGGGAAAAAATAATAAACGCAGCACATATCGTAATCTATGTTGCTATTCTTCTACCCTATACTCCACTTTTCAGAATAAATTATGCCACAGTATAACGTGTGTACATATGTGTGCACACTGTAAAGTAAATATGTCATATAAATTAAACTGATATATAACATGGTACAATATTGCATATTTATTATAAACTTATAATAATCTAATGAATCAAATTATTTATTATTATCACTTAATCTTTAAATTTCATTAGATGTCTATCACGTATATTGATATAAAAAAATATATGTAACGCAAATCTCAAATCTTCACAATTGTAAAATTATTTATATATGTGTAATTATAGTTGTGACATATTTGATTGTTTGTTATATTAAATTACTAAACATTATTATGTAGTCATACATCTACTTCGCTCACGATTTTCATGCGCTATTTTTTATAAATCCATTTGTATGTATAAAAAGAAAAATGTGATAATTTGTTATAATTTAACACTTTTACGCCTGCACATTTCGCTCAAAAACTTTTTTTACATAATCATAACTGCTTTTCACAGTCATTCATAATATAATTATAATATACTTATTGAAAGAGAAGTATTGAATTTACCATTATTTAAATTTTATCATATAATCTCAATGTAGACAAACATTAAATCCAGGACCTCAAAGTATTTGTCAGACTAAAATTGATAATGCGAAACCACATATATCTGATGCCAACTGATAACTGCTGGCTGAGCGAAATCACTTTTTTGTCACAGCGGACGATAAAGTGTTAAAAAAATAGCACTAAACATAAAGAATATTTAATTTACCTTTACATACAAATCCACATCGTGAACTTAGTTTATGATATGAACCTCATTTTGTTTTGACATAGATTCTCTTTAAAATCTGACATTACCACGACTGTAACGCAACATTCCCACCTAAAGAAACTAACTAATTGTATTTTTCAAATAATTTTGAAATCAAGTGAACAAATACATACAGTCAAAAATAATTAGCTTATAAAAAAATATATAAAAAAAAAATTAATTATATAAAAATAAACTATCATCTTTTATTTTATAATTATACATTTATACCTTTATTGAATGATACTTTCAATAAATAATCTTAGTTGGTTATAGAATGTTTTCTTACTTTTTTCTCTAAAACTACCTGATACCAAGAATCATTTTCAAAGATTAGTAGCACATTATGTTTCCAAATGTTTACATTCAAAGAAAATATTTATAGGTCAGAATGATTGCGCCAGTGCCTGACAGTTTTAGCATGGAAATATACTTCTTGACAACATCTATATCATTTCTAACAGTAAGAGATACTACAAAATAATGTGTATCCACCTGTTAGATGCCATGAAGTATGACGTCTGGGCTAAGTCCTTGCTCGCTGAAAAATAATAACAATCATTTATTAATCCAAATATAAATTAATTTAAAATATGATTCACTTATAAACTATAAACATAAACTTACCTTTAACCAGTTGACAACATCTAACAACATGTGTGTGAGGATGGTCAATAGCAACATCAAATCCCAATGTCTGTAGTAAGACATTTTCATTAAATACTAAATCTTGAGCTTGTTCAAGGTATTGCTGCAATAAAATCATACTTGTTAATAAATGGAAAATAAAGAGTATTGAATATAATTCATAAATTAGAAAAATATAATATAAATAAAGATATATATAATACAATTTTTATAAAAAGACCATCAATGGAATAAACATATTACTATTTATTTGGATAAAAAATTTTAATACCTACCTCAGATCTGATGTCAGGTGGCGGCTGATCTCTGTGCAAACACATGTGTGCCATTTTGATAACATGTTCTAGTTTGCGTGGTTGTTCTTCTACTTTTGCTGCTAAAAAAAGGGCTGCTGCAGCTATCGAATTTCGGTGGAAATGTGATAGCGAATGGAACACATAGAACCTGTGCATGTAGACTATTGCTGTATTGATGCATAATTGTGTACTATATATCAATAGTTAAGGAAAATTCTTTTGTGCTGATAATTCCTAGATTAAACTTTTCATTATAAATTATGGTTATTATGAGTTATAAAATATCAATTTTCACCAATCTTAATTAAAAAAAATTGCTTGCAACAAATAAATATTATAGTATCAAGAACCAAATGTGTAGTACCAACCAAGTCTAAGTACATGAAAGTATAAGTATATAGATAATAATATATAGGTAATAGTATAGAAGTACATGTATGTATAAGTATATAAGTAATAAATATAAAACAAGTTGCCAGAAAAATTATATCAAATTGCTATACTTCTAGAAAAATCAATGAAAATGAAAGAATTTTTAATTTTATAGATCATTATTGTTCTGAACAAGATATTGATGACTTTATCAAATTCATATAAGATATTATTAGAAATACAAAATCGTATAGTTTTTAAATAATTTAATACAATAACATCTAAAAAATAAATTGTATCATTGAAATTTATTTGAATTTATTTATTTGTTATATATTTAAAAGGATGATTTAATCAAAAACTATGAAACTAATATTATATATAACTTATTGCGTTATATTAAATTAAATTATTGCATTATATTAAAGCAATAAGAAATGGAATATTTGTTTATATTAAGAATAATTTATTTAATTTATATATTACATTTTAAATATTTCAAGTTATTTTAGCAGGTAGTGATAATATGAAATTCAATTTTCATCTAATCTATACAAATCTAAAAAATAATAAGGTACTCTTGAAGAAATTTAAAAATATAAGGTAATCAATATTCTGGATGCTTAGAACTTCTTAAATCTTTTATTATATACATATTTGATTTCATCAATAAAAAGATTTATAAGACATAAGCAGTAATACATAAACATTTTAAAAACATCTTTAACAAAAATATGTATAAAGGCATTTACCATCTTATATTTTATAAAGATTAGAAAATAATACAATTATGTTGAAATGTAAATACAAAACCATAGTGTAGATATTTAATTTGATTCTGTTTTGTATACATCAAATATTAATACAATACATTACTTAAGAATCAAACAATAAATATAACAAGTTATATGATACAGAATGTAAATTTTTTTATAGAAAATAATGCTTAACATCAATATATAAACAGAGGATTGTTATAAAAGATAACACAATGTTTAATCCATTGTACCAATATAAACAAAAACTTAACACAAAGTATTTCAGACCTAGAATAATCCTACAGAAAAATTTTGGTATAAGAGAATTAATCCTTTACAAGTGATATTTTATATAATCAGAAAAGTATCCAGAGTACTGCTTTCAATTCTATCTTAAAAATCAAAATATTCATATTTTTATCATTTTTACCTGTTATTAAATAAACCCTAACAGATTATGTGATATGAGCATAAAAAAATAATTTCATTTTCATCATTCATCTAGATATATAGTTTAATTTCTTTGTAGTATTAAAATTTCCTTAATCGTTTTCAATAAATTGTACAAACACATGCGATGTACTTTCAAAGAATCCCTATTTAAACATATAAATTCTATTGATGCATAAGATGAACAGTAATATAAAATTGAGTGAATAGCAATCGATATTAATATCGGAGAAACATTAAATTATTAGTATTAGACTTTATGATCATAATAGGAAAAATCAGAGAAACTATTTAATCGTCAAACCTACACATTTTAAAAAGTTTGTTCAACTAGATGGCAAAGGAAGCGATATATCTTGCCAATCCTTCTCGTATCTCAAAGGCAAGCAAAACTGCAGCTGTTGTAGGATAGAAAATAAGAAGAAACCCATACTTGCGTAAGGATAAAACAGCAGAAAACTTGGTTGGTACTACTGTCAAACTTGATCCAGGCAAACAATGTAAATTTCAATGTGACCCTGTTTCATGCCCTTATTTTAAATTTCACATTATCAGACGAATTCGATGATATAATACGCGTGGTAACCATGATCGTGCATAGACTGACATTCCGCGTATAGTGAGGAAAAAAAAGCAAAATAAACGGCTCGTGAGAGGTGTGTGACGCAGGAAACTTCAATATGGGGAAAAGTAGACGACGACGCGTGACCTCCGCGCTCTCGCACGTCACACACATGTTTATAACACGTCGCATTTCGCGACTTCGTGGAATTCTCGAGAGGGGAAAAGAAATAGTACCGTCGCATTCATGAAACATTGAATAGACCGATGTAATATTAACGTCTCGCGATAAGAAATTATCATAAACTTTAATAATTGGTAAAAATGATAAGAGAAGATTCGTGAGGAAGGGAAATGTTGAAAAAAAGGCATGAGATGCAAGTAAACCGATAGGACAAAACCACACGCATAAAGACGAGGGGGACGCGGAATGGGGGGAACGAAAAAGCACACATTCATTTTTGATAAAAAGGATACACCACAAGTCGCTGTCCCATGTCCTGGATGAAATTCGCTGCCTGCTGCCTGTAACTTAGTTCTTTATCCGCGTCGATGCCGCATCTTCTGCTCGGCGTGTTTATAAGCTGTTCTTTTGTAAAGTACCATTTTTCGTCAGCCGCCATTTATATGTACACACAACTCGGGCACTAAAGCGATGCACACTTCACGGCGTTCGCTCACTCGCGCGGCGGACGGGCCAACGGCGTCGACTTTCGCGTCTCGCCGTCAACGTAGATATATCGAAAATTTTGCGAGCGATACGCCGACAACTTCGCGTCACGCACGAATTGGAAGAACGGACTGACGCATAGGCGTCGATATGTAAAATTCGAATACTGCTACTATCGTCGTCATTACTACCACCGCCGTCATCACTATCATTACAACCACCACCACTTTCATTTCCACCTTATGCGTCAGAACAAACAAATGCACAAATGTTTTTCTTTTTCTACTATCGAAAACGCGCGAAGTTTTATCACTGTTACGATCATACCGTCTAAGCTTTATTCTCATCGAACGATATTTCGTTCTATTGTGTTTTCTTGCGATTTTCTATCAAAATCGTACCACAATTTGACGACGTTCCTCTTCATCAATATTCTTATTTCGATTGAAATCGCAATTCGTTCTCTTCAATGTGCCTCGTGTAAAAATGAGAATTTCAATCACCGAACGTTAACGAAAAATTAATTTCGATATAAACTAGCAGGTCAGGCTTCTTAAATAATTTTTTGACCCATTATTCGAGGGACATCAATTGTATGCATGAATAACATCTTTGAATCTCTTTCTCTCCTCTCGAAAATGTGCGATGTTTTATCATTATCACAATCATATCGTTTAAATTTTATTTTTATTGAACGATATCCTGTCCTGTTGTATTTTCTTGCGATTTTCTATTAAAATTGAATCACAAATTGACGACGTTTGATTAAAATGATTATTTCGATTGAAATCACACTTTGTTTTCTTCAAGGTGTCCCGTGTAAAAATGAGAACTTCACTCGTCAAAGGCTAACGAAAAACTGACTACCTTTCCGTAAAAATTATCAGTATTACTATAATTTTGGATTTTCTACAGGTCAAAATTTATGTCCATTTGGTCCCTACTTTCACTTTCTTGCAAACAAGTAAATTATGACTCATAAAGATATTATCTATTGAATACAATTGTTTGGAACCCAAAATAAGCAGGTATACGTAAATATATTGGGCGTTCATGAGAATAAGAAAAACATTTTTTTCCTTTATATTATCCCTTTGTGATATTCATTTTTCACTTTTGTAAAAATTGTTTACCGTTATTTAATACCGTTGAAAATATTTTCTCTAAAGCATCTTTGTTTTTGAGTATGTTTACGTATTTCTTGAATTTTAATATAAAAACGTGTTTTTGTAAGGGATTATCACTAAATGCGTCAATCATTCGCTTGTTCGAAAGTCCACTCCTGCGTAAATTCACTGCAAGTTTAATCGCACATTTTTTTTCTGATGATCAGAGAAATATGCAGTCAAAAAGAGGATAAAGATAACCTTACAGGATGTCTTCTTTCCAAATGTATACTTTTGATTTCACCGTTTACGGAAATATTAGCACGACAACGTATTTCGTAATATTGTCATATATTAAAGGGATGATTTTATTATTATTATTATTATTAATTATTATCGCAGAAGGAACGATCGACTTACAAATTCGCCTCAATTCGTTCTTTCGCGACCGCGTGGATTACCTAACCACCTGGATGTGTCAACACCCAGCTATTCGATCAAGGAATATTGCAGTAGCCAACTTCACAGCATACCTCCGTTCTCGTTTTTTCTCCCATAATCTTTTTCTTCTTTGCTTTTTGTATTATATTTATTGTATTTTATCGTATTCATTTTTTTTATCTTTATTATTTATGTTGTTTTTATTGTTAAGATGCACCATAAAGTTACGATAAACACGAATCACGTAGTTTTCATCGTGTGTTTGGTAGTTTAAATTTCCGGAAATGACGTAACTCGATATGAAAGTAAGCAAGTAGACGAATGTAATTCCTCGTCATAAAGGCATTATCTATTGTGTTGTGACAAACATTGTAATAAACAAGTTTATCCAGTCTTTTTTAAGAGTCATTCACTTTGTGGAATAACACGATTATTTGTATTATTGAGTGATATTTTTTCGGATTTGGAAAATTACCGAATTATTTTTTGACATCAACTTGCTCTAGTGTAGAAGTCTAACGTGACAAATCACGGTAAGCATGATGATACGAAAGTATTCCGATTTCTTGTTTCACTGGTGATTCTATATCACTGTAAAAAAGTATTTATTTATTCGCATCATTCTATCCATATTCATGTGTAGATCAGTGAAATTTTATTCAACATCTTATACAAAATGGCGACAAATTCTCACTCCGTACGCGTGTGTTTGTTAAAGATCATTTACTGTCATTTTTTGATTAAAATGATCGTTAAAAAGTATATCTTACGTTATACGCCTATAGCTTAGAGGATCAGTAATTTAATATATCATATCGTGAAATAATTGTGTATATACATTTTTAATATCTTGTTCTATTGAACCCATTTGTTAAACGCCATCTTTATATTGCACTATGGCGCTAACATTCAATTCAATATTCAAATTAAAGAATTTGAATTAATTAGAGAGATTATTGACTCAATGTAAACTTAATTTAAAATTTCATCTAATTTATATTTATTTTTAATTGAAATAATTTCAGAACTAGTTATGTTTCGGATTCCAAAGTCTACAATGTCTACAACTCTTTCAACGATTAATTCAAAACCTTCTACTCAAACACGTAAATGTTTGTATGCATCATTTGAATGTTTACAACCTTGCCATGAAGGATATTCATACTGTTTAAGGCACATTCTTGAAGATCCAAATGCTCCTTTTAAACAATGTGCTTTCATATATAATTCAAATGGGAGAAAATGTCAGAACCCAGCACCCAAACTTGACAAAAGAGATACTTCGTAAGTTTATTTTATCTAATAACACTAAGTATTATGGTTATTATTAATTTAGAAGAATATTGAAATGAAGTTTTTTCATTTCAAATTTCATTTCAATTCAGATACTGTATAGAACATACAAGGAAAGCACAAATTGCTCGTATTAAATCAACGTCACGTCATTCATTACCACAAACGCCTGAAATATTACTATTAAATTTGAATCACTATGTAAAGCCAACTGATTCAAGTACAGAGGATACTGAAGATGAAGAAAATAAAGTTAAAGCATTAGATCCTTTTAGTATGTATATACTTGAAAGCTTTTCCTTCATATTGAAATAACCTTTCGTATGTAGGTCATAAATTGAATTCTCTCAATATATAATAAATAATGAATTTTTATTTTTAGATGAAATTGATGCTTATAGAGTGAATGCAAGTGGGTGTGACATTTTAGATTATGCTAGCTCCTCCGATAGTGATGTTGAACCTACGACAGTAAGTGATACTTTAAAAAATGCTTGTCTTGATGACAGTGATAATGAAAGTTTACATAGCCCACAAGAAGATCCATTGAAGTAAGTTTATGTTGGTATGTTTGAGTATCAATCTCTTTACAAAATATATTATACTATGCACGCTAGCATGCTTCAGCTTGTGCCATCACCTATCAGTATGTGTATATGTGTATATATGTATATATAAAATGTTAAACATCTTTATTCATTTTTTTATATAATTTTTAAAAAATTATAGCTGATTGTAGCTGTTTTTTTACTTTCAATCATTTCCTAGTAGTTGCTTTGTGCAAAGAATAAGATACTATCTACCTATTGAATCATTAGTATTAATTTTTTAAGGCATGCTGGAATATTTACGGCAGAGGAGGTAATTTATATTGCAAGAGAAAAATTAATCCGCCTTCAGTCACTTTACATAGATCAATTTAGGAGATTGCAATATACATTAAGAGAGAGGAGACGCAAATATTTACATGGTTTAAAAAAAGAAAAAGAAACTGTATGTAAGTAAATGACAATGGAAAATTTCCTAAAGTTTCAGATTTTGATTATAAATATACAATGATTAGAAATTAAATGAAATATTAATATATAGGTAGTATACATGATCAACCAAAAGAAACAGCAAGGGAGAAAAAAATATATGAAAAATTAAAAGCATTAAATCGGTATCATAGACGTAGTGGCACAGAAGCTGTACTTTATAGGAAATCTTTAGAACGTCGAGCGCAGGTAAATAAAATATTTCTAATAAAGCAATGGTGTTAATATTTTGTGGAATTTACTATAATTCAAATATTTTAGGTATCAGAGGGACCAACGCAAAAGCCACCAAATATATCCAAATGTATATTTACAGAAGGTGGTGTAAAATGTGGCGAAAGAACACTTCCTTCTGCTAAACATTGTCGTAAACATATTCTTAAGGTATTATTTTATTCTTTATTTTAGTTAACAAATCATAATTATAATAATAAAATTATGAAAAAAAGAATCATTTATTTTTGTTTTTCAGGATCAACACCAAGTTTTATTTAAAGCTTGTGGTGCAGTACATGCTGATATTGAATGTCATGAACCTATACCAGTTATATTTGATTCCAATTGTATATTTCATATGAACTTACCACAACAATGTAAATTAGAACCAATGAAAGTAAGCTTATAATATTATAAATTGATATTGACATTCTCCAGCAATGTATTTATTATAATTTATATTTTTTTCATAAAGAATATTTTTCTTTATAGTTTGAAGAAGAAAAATCTACTATACAAGAATTATCGATGATTGATAATCAATCCATGGAAATTGATGTAGTTGGTGAAACTCAAGAGATAGATCCAGATGATGATATGGCTGGATTAATGAGAGAAATGAATGATACTAGTCACATGAAACCAACATTCAATGAAAGTTTGAACAGTGAAGCTAGTACTGATACAGCATTTAGTTTATCAGCCCAAATGAGTGACAAGGATGAACTAATTTCAATGTGACATGAGTTTTTATATTAATTTGTAGTCATTATTGTATTATATAACATTCATATTAAGCATATATTTGGGTTTAATCTTTATAATTAACAGCATAATAATTTTATTTATATAGAAATAAATAAGCTTTTATGTTTCATCTTCAATCATTTGTTCTACTAACAGTGAATGTAATATATATTCACTGCTAAGTTTGTACATATTCCTATTAATAATCTTAACAAGTGTATATAATTAGTAAGTATAATAATAAATTATTGCAAATGTGTATTTCAAATCTAATTTATTTTTCATATAAAATCAATTTGATTTTATTATAAGATATGAAAGATAGAAGGTACCTTATTTTATCAATTTCTTTATTTTGCACAGTATCTGCAAAATGTAAGTATATCATATATTATACATATGCCGATTTGAAAACCAAATTATTTATATTTAATAAGAAAGATGCGCATGTTACAAATTATTAATAATATCGCATGAAAATTTACCCAATTACAAATTATTTAATCATTGTTTGTATATAAATCATTAGGGCAATTGCATGAAAAATACTACATATTATCTATAAAACTTACATACTCTCTTGTAATAATTTTGTATTAAACTTATACTTGAATACTTCTACTCTTTCTCCTTATTTAGTTTATTATCAATACTATCTATTAATATCAAAATAATAAATTTATTAGGAATTATTTTTGGTAAATAAATATTTTAAATATACCGTTAATTAAGTATTTAATAAAAAATTATTTCTTAAAAATAATGATACCGATAATATTAGTAAAAATCATACTTGAAAGAGAAATACAAAGGCATAAGTTCACACACATGCATATTTCACATACAAATAGTACTATACATAAAGGTAGTATCACAGCAATTATGACCGCATACAATATGTGCTTAAATTTATTTAATTGCTAAACCTTACAGTGTTGATAAATACATGTAATTTATGATATTTTTCAATGGTATACATGTTTATAAATAAGTAGTAAACATAAGTGAGAAATATATACGTTATACATGTGTATCATTGAAATTTTAAGTATAACTTTATAATAGTTATATATTTAATTATATATCTACTAATGATAATTATAAAATGACATTGTGGCACATTTATACCCTCTCGAATTTAAGTAAAATTTGCATAATAACGTTAACTTTCAATTAATCTCATATTGAAAGTGATTGAAAGATTTTTCTATTTTTATTGGTGGGTTATTTAAAGTTATCAAACTAACAAAAAGGTATATTTTTAAAGTAAAATATCATGTACACAATAAGATATATTAAGTTTATCTTTAAATGTTTATATTTATTGCTACAGGCTTTTTTATTGTTTCAGATAATTAATCACCTGCAGATATAAATTATCATAGCTAGCTTTCTTCTCTTTTCTTATTTCTATATAAAGGTAGATAATCAATTCTTAATATACGATTAATGTGAGTACATATAAAATTCTGTTCTTTATGAAATTCAGATATAACATGAATCTATCAAAATATTATATTTTCAGTATCATAACTTTTGCTCTGTATGAAGATAGATAAACAATAATGCTATATATTTTCTGATACAGTAATTCACAGTTTTTTCCTCTGGTACATTTGTACAAAACTTAATAAATAAATGTGATTTAGATTGATACTTTCACAAAGTAAAAATTCTTCTAAAACATTTTAATTTATTTATTTCATCATTATTTAATTCGATTATTTATGCTACAATTCTCATACTTAATTGTCTGTATCACTGATAATCTATTATGGCTAAAGCCAGTTTTATTTTTATTTATTAGAACAATCTTATACATAAGAATAAGAAATATATTAATAATGATATATATGAGCACCAGTGCAATAATATCATTTCCCGATACTGAAATACATATAAATGAAAATGATTACATTGGAATTGAATAGATAAATGATTTTTTAATTATGAATATATGTAAAAATATTATATTAAAATCAACTGCATAATGGAATTCTATTTTGTTTGGATTTTATGTATGTTCATAATAGAATTAATTCTATTTTTAAATATCATTTGATAAGTATACATAATGCAAACATATTAAATTAGGAATCTTTAAGTATATAAATTTTACATGGAACATCTGAATATTTTTATTGAAGTGCAAAGATAGGCATGATGATAAATATCCAGTGTTACTATGATACTATAAGTAAATACAATTGCAATTGTGTCTATTTGTCTCTGTATAATTAATACGTAGAAAAGATAATTTCTTAAAAAATAGAAATTTATATAATATCGAATAATCTATTGATTTAAAAAGCATTAATTAAATTATAACTTATTTTAATTTATAAGCAACCTTTAAATATCTATCTTATTTTATAAATGTTTAAACTAACTTCTGATTTAAGTATCAGATTACTTACAAAATAATGGAAGCCATCTTAACTAAATATTTTTATGTAATTGCTGCTATAGGTTTCTATAAATTACTTATAATAGATATAATTATAAAAATTATCAAGATTTTAAAGTATATAAAATAATGCACGTCGATAGATATTCAACATATATATGAAACAAATTAAATATATCGCCTAATTCTTTTGACAATATTTGCCAAATATATTTTTTTTATTGATAATAACAAATTTCTTAAATAAAAAAAGCAGTGAATTGAATGAAAGTGAATTTTGTAATAAAAAGTGTTCACAAATAAATCTAAAATGTGTTTAATGTTTAATGAATAATTACTTTAACATTAATATTTTTTATATATGCTTGCAGTCTATTCATAATAACAGTGGCAAGTTTTAATTCTAAGGCAACTTTCATTTAATATTATACACTTAATATTAATTTAAACACGCGATATTTTTCAACACATAAGCGAATGTATCATGTAATTTATAGCAGCAATTATATACAATCACTTTATGTAATATTAAAGTAACAGATAAAAGAACTAGGTAATATATTATAAAGTTCTTTATCTAATTACTGAAAATAAGGTTTTATCAATACATTCTCTGTAAGAACAGTATTTCAATAATCAGAAGTATACTCTGAATACTTGATCTTGTAAGTATACTTCAAATATTGTCGTTGTGTTTAAATTAATTTTTCTAGTTATTCGGTTATTCTCTTAGTGCTGCAGTATTTATCTTGATATCTTTATACCTTCTGTATTATCTTATATATAGTTTCATAGTTATCAATATAAGACTCCTTTATTATAAATAACGAACTTCATTGGTAAATGTGCTGCAAAGGTAAAAAAATATAAAAATTTTTATTAAACATAAGAAATATTGGCAACTTACCATTTTTCAAAAATACTTCCGATATATATATAATTTAATCATTAAATATATGTTTAAGATCATGTTCATAAAGTGCAATAATTAGCATGATACCAAGACCCAATGATAATCCTAATGCTTGTAACATGCATTGCCAGTGTGAACTGCGCTCTGCAGAATGACTCGAAGATAACTCTGGTATCTGGAATTATTATAACAATGAGTAAAATTTGTCTTTAAGAAAATATTATAATATTATTTAAGTACTTACCATATCTACTAAAGCTATATATATAAACATACCAGCAGCAGCAGAAAATATCCAACTGGTTGCTGCTGGTGTACTGCCCAATAACACACCAACTATCATACCAAATAAGCATAGTACCGATGACAAAAGATTATAAAAAACTGCTTGTTTAGCACTCATACCTGCTTTTAACAATACTGCAAAATCACCTGTTCATAAAATTTATATTATTATTTTTATTATTGTTTAGAATATTTTTTTATACCTATATTTGTTTAATTTTTATTTCAATTTACCTAATTCGTGAGGTAACTCATGACAAAAAACAGCAATAGCTGTAGAAAATCCACCTGCTATGTTTGCTGCAAAAGCTGCACCTATGGCCATGCCATCCGTAAAATTATGTAGGCCATCTCCCATCACTACCATCCAAGCAACACTTGACATTGATTCTGGTGCAGAATGTACATGACCTTAAATAATACACATATTGATCTATTACAGAATAAAGACGTTTACATCAAAATATAGTTACAATATAAAGATATTAAAATTTATTTCAACTGAATATATCTTACCATGAGAATGTGTATGGCCATGATGTTTAGTTTCATGCTCGCGTATGATAACAGTATAACTTTCAGATTCATTTAAAGGTATATCAGCACCATCTGTAGTTTTTTTTGCATTATTTACAATGGAATCATCCAACCTCCAATCATCAGTTGTTTTTTTCTCAATATCACTTGTCATCATTTTTGATACAGAATTACAGTTTGCTGTTAATGGTTTTTCTTCATCGATAACAGGTGGTTTATCTTGCTTATGTTGTCGATTATGATGATTATCTATAACAGAATTTCTTATAAAATATTGTTTGAAATATTTGAACTATGATTTAATGTTTTATTCAAATTATTAGACAACATGCCTTGCGTCTCTGTAGTAATTTCACCATAACAATATGGATATGAAGAATATTTATGTTTACAAAGTTTTTCGCCAACAACATTACTGTTAGGACCATCAGATTCTCTCATAACTCTCACACGTGATGGTAACTGAAAATAGATTTTTTATTTGCATTTTATATTCGATATATATACACTCCATTATATATAGGTGTTCTTAACATTTTGCTATAACTATTACTAAAAAACTTTGTTATAAGTATTATGTTATTATATTTACTTTGTTACGACGTTGACGATGTTTTCTCCATTCCGCTAACACTGTTAAAGCTTTCTCAGTAAAAAAGAACAATACTAGACCAATCATAGCTATAAAACCCTTCCACATATTTAGATTATGTAGTTCTTCGTGATTTGTTATAAAATGACTTTCATGAGCCTGACCGTGATCATGATTATGTGCCATTGGTGACATCATGGCCTAATAAACGATTTCAATAATTTTTTAATTTTTATATTATAATTACCAATTTATTATAAATAATAATAATATTATGTATTATTTTGTTTAATTTAAGCAAGAAGGAAAACTTACGTGTGGTAACAAATGTATAAGAGCATCGCCACATAAAGTTCCCACAGCAAGTGCAACTAAGAATTGTAATAATTGATGATAATAAATTTTTCCCATTACAGGTATTACTGCTACACCAAGCAATCCACAAAGACTAATAATTAAAATGCTAATCGTTGAGTACAACCACACTAAAAAATAAAACAACATATTCTTTGTAATTTGATATTAAAAAATTAT